TAATTTTCTTTTCAATATCTGTCCTTTTTTTTTTCTTTGAGGTTATTCTTTCTATATGGATTATACTCCTTTTATACCCAAAATAATTTTAAATATAATTATTTTTAGTTTTCTTTTGATCTATTCTCTCTTAAGTTTTTGGTATGCTAATTATTTTCATTGTGTTCTGATTTTCCCTCATGGTGAACTGTTTCCTCACATGGTTTATAATCTTTTATTGAGAAGTTTGTGAATTCTTGTTCAGTAGGGATTATTTTCTGTGAGAGTCTCATCCCTAGGTCATTGAGTGGCTTTATAATTACCTCTAGGTTTTTCAGTGGTTCCGGACTAAATTTTTACATTAATTTCCTGAGTTGAGATTTCTTTACCACATTTTAGACTGTACATCTCCATGTGTCTTGAGATCAATTTTCATGAGATTTTATTTTGCTCACATAGACCCTAGAGTGGATAACATGCTTCCTTGCAGTTTCCATGGCCTATTTATTACTTCTTTTTATGGAGGGAGCAGCCTTAAGGACCCCAGATTTATACAAAGATCTCAATTCCTGTTTTCAAATTCATGAAGGCAATTTTGTGTCCCTAAATTGGCATTAGGAGCCCTGGTGGCGTAGTGGTTAAAAGGTTGGCGGTTTGAATCCTCCGGCCACTCCTTGGAAACCCTATGGGGCAGTTCTACTCTGTCCTGTAGGGTCACTATGAGTCGGAATCAACTCGATGGCAATGGGTTTGGTTTTTAAATTGTCATTAAAAACCCAGACTCCCCAGGCTTGTATCCAGATATTGGTGTTGGCCTCTCAGTTCATGCACTTATTATTCAGGCCTCGGGTTTTCTTTCTGATTCTGGCATCTGAGAATGTCTCTTTCTGTCTCACTATGTTAAAGAAAAAAAAATTTTCTTATTGTTGTTGTTTTATATTAATCCAGTATTTATCCATGTTTGCAGGGATGAGGAAAGGTAGGATGTTTCCTTTAGTTCATTTAAGCATGTTGCCTGAAGTTTTGTATGTATTTCTTTAGAATAAATTTCTAGTATTTGAGTATCTTGTGTTAACGGATGTGCAGAAGTTAAGTATTGTCTGTTGATGCCAAATTTCTTCCCATTGAAATTTAGCAGTTCTACCAGCATTATATATGATTGTTCATTTAAAAATCTTATCAGTTGAAAAATTGTCAGTCCACAAAAAGAAAATTGTCAATTCCAGGGCAACAAATTATATCAGATTGTTTTAATTTGCATATTCAAAACTGTAGAATTGCATTGGCCATCTGTTGGCCCTTTGTTTACCTTCTGCGATTTGCTTATTTATATTCCTTGCCTTTTTGTCTGTTGGATTTTGTGTCTTTTTATTTTTATTAAGGTGGTGGAACTCTTTGATTATTCTGGGTATTAATTTTACTACTATTTTCTACCAGTTGCTTGTCTTTTAATTTTGTTTATGGTTTCTTTCTTCATACCAGAATTTAAAATTTTTAACTAGTCATATCTTTCATGGTTTTTTTTTTTTTTTTGTGGCTTTCCCCCGCTGTTGTTTAGGGATGCCTTTGGAACCTGGGGAGCCTTGGTGGCGCCGTGGTTAACAGCTAACCTAAAGGTCGGCAGTTCAAATCTACCAGCCACTCCTTGGAAACCCTATGGGCAGTTATGCTGTGTCCTATAGGGTCGCTATGAGTCTGAATTGACTCGAAGGCAATGGGTTTGTTTTTTTTTTTTGGTTTATTTTACTTTTAGGAGCCCTGGTGGTGCAGTGTTTAAGAGCTCAGCTGTGAACCAAAAGGTCCATAGTTCAAACTCACCAGCTATTCCAAAAAGACGTGGCAGTCTTCTGTAAAAATATTTACAGCTTTGGAAACCCTATGGGGCAGTTCTACTCTGTCCTGTAGGGTCGCTATGAGTCGGAATCAACTCGACGGCAACGGGTTTGGTTTGGGTATTTTACTTTATTAAAATATTACCCTGTATTTTCTTCTTATAGTTTTATTTTTTAATGTTAAGCTCAAATTCATCTGGAATTTATTTTAATGAATGATGTTGCATGCGAATCTAGATGAGTAGCCATTTATCTCAGTGCCATTTATTGAATGAATAGTTCATTTTTCCTTACTGATTTGAGATGCCACCTTTCTTATAAACCAAATTCTCATATATGAATGGGTTTGTTTCTAGGCTCTGTGTTCTGTTCCATCAGTCCATCTGTCTATTTCTGTGTTAGTGCCACACTGTTTAGATTTAGATTATAGTATTTTAAAGGTTTACTTTGATATCCTTGCTCTTTTTAAAAAATTTATTTTATTTTTGTTGTTGCTGAGAATACACAGCAGAACATACACCAGTTCAACAATTTCTACATGTACAGTTCAAGGACATTGATTACTGTATTTTTATGGAAATAACACGCACATGCTGTTTTTTCCAATTGTACCCTCCCCCTGTGAAGTATTTTCATAAGTGCACTATGCTAATTTTTTTTACAGCAATATGTAAAAAAATAAAAAGTGGCATAGCATGTTTACAGAAATACCTCACAGGGGGCTGGGGAGGGTGCAGTTGGCAAAAATTGTAGAATGCCTGTGTTATTTGCATAAAAATATGGGTATATTCTTTGAGTTGTGCAACCATTCTCTCCCTCCTTTTCTGAGTTGTTCTTCCCCCATTAACATAAACTCACTGCCCCGTAAGATTGCTGTCTAATCTTTGGAGTTGCTAGTGTCAGTTTGATCCCATATAGATCTTAAAAGAGCCTTGAACATTCTGCTCTTTTAAGATCTATCTGTATAGATCTATCTATATATTATATCTCTATCTATCTGTATATTATGTCTATATTATATCTATCTATAAGATCTATCTATCTATATATTATCTTCTTTCCTAGTTAAGCTAAACTATTGTTTGGTTTTAAGAAGACTTCAGGGGATATTTTTGGCTTAAGTTTTAAGGTTTAAAGATTATCTCAAGACAGTAGTCTCAGGGGTTCATCCAGCCTCCATGGCTCCAGAAAGTCTGGGTTCCATGAGAATCTGAAATTCTGTTTTATGGTTTTCCCCTTTTGTTCAGGATTCTTATATAAAGTCTTTGATCAGAATGTTCAGAATGGTGGCTGGGCACCAACCGGTTCTTATGGTCTTATGGCAAAGGAGGCAATTGTTCATGGAGGCCATTAGCCACACATTCTATTTCCTCTTCCTATTCTGACTTGCCTTCTTCCTCTGTTGTTCTAGGTGCACAGAGACCAATTATTGTACCTTGAATGGCCCTTGCAAGCTTTTAAGTCCTCAGGTACTACACATGAAGTAGGAGGTAGACCAGAAACACTAAACATGTTATTAGGCTGATTACCTGGGATGTCCCATGAAGCCATGACCCTAAACCTCCAAACCAAGGAACCATATCTCATGAGGTATTTGGTGCTACAGAAGAGCCTCATCAGCTACTCTTTTTTTTAAAAATTTTTGTCATTGTTGTCACTATATCTATCACACAACTTTTACCAATTCAGCAACTTTTTACAGGTGTACAACTTATTGTCAGCAATTACGTTAATCACCTGTGCAATCCTACCCTTAATCAGTGCGATTTTTCTATCACCACAAACACAAACTTAGTGTTCCATAAGCAATAACCCCCCCTTACCCCTTCAGTGCTGTTTTTTACCCCAGTATTTTCCTATTTCTATGTATTTTCTCTTTTTTTTAAATTGAGATTCAGCTCACTAAGTTTTATAAGTAACCCAATTGGAATTTTGTTGGGATTATATTAGCATCTTTATAGACTTGAGTTGTTTTATTTAGGAGTTTAGGATGTCTCTCCAGTTGTTGTTGTTTTTTTTTTCCCTAGCTTTTCAGTAAAGCTTTATAAAGGTCTTGCACATTTTGGGCTTATTCCTGGGTATTTTCTTTCTTTTTTTTCTGTTAGCTGTTCTAATGAACTATTATTATTTTTTGCAAGTTCTTTTTTTGTGTGTGTGCTTTAGGTGAAAGTTTAAAGTTAAGTTAGTTTCTTATTCAAAAATCTATACACATATTGTTATGTGACCCTGTTTGCCATCCCTATAATGTGGCAGCACACTCCCCCTTTCCACCCCAGATTTCCCGTGTCCATTCAACCAGCTCCTATCCTTTTCTGCCTTCTCGTTCCACCTCTGGACAGGAGCTGCCCATTAAGCCTTGTGTATCTACTGGAACTAAGAAACACACTCTTCACGAGTATCATTTTATGTTTTATAATCCAGTCTATGTCTGAAGCATTGGCTTCGGGAATGGCTTCAGTTCTGGCTTACAAGAAAGTCCGGGGACCATGTCTTCTGGGGTTCCTCTAGTCTCAGGCCATTAAGGCCTGGTCTTTTTATTAGAATTTGTGTTCTGCACCCCACTTATCTCATGTTCGTCAGGGACTCTCTGTTGTGTTCCCTGTCAGTCATTGGTGGTAGTCTAATGGATTATTGATGGTGGATGGGATGAATGGTTCACTTTGGACTTGTGCGCGTTGAAACACAGACTCACGAAATACACTGTCTACATTATTTTTTTCTCCCACCTTGGGTTATCACCATGTATGATTTGATTCTTCTGCAAAACCAGAGCTTTCACAATGCATTTTTATTCCTTAGGCCATCTATAAAAATATTAAAGAAGGCCTATCCTAGCACATATCTCCAAGGTACTTTAGTGTTTATACTTCTCCACCTAAATTAAATCAAGTTTATTCCTACTCTACTGTGGGTCCCAGAACCCCAATGATGATACATCTCCATCTAGTGAAGTCCTGAGGTATCCTAATCACTTGTTCCTGTATCTGAGCTAATTCCGTATTCTCAGCCAAATGATATCCTTCAATTTTGTGTTAATCCTTTTCTTCCTTCCCTTCTTAACCCCTCCCCCTTTACTTTCTTCTCTCTTTTTCCTCCTCCTCCTTCTCTACCTCCTCCCCTTTTTTCTTTTTTTTCCTAAGTACTTTGGACCTGAGCAGGCATTAACTTCTGACCTCTGCTTTTCCCCAGCCAGGACATCACAGGTGATATTTACTATTTCAACTTTGCCAATGGGCAGTCCATGTGGGACCATCCATGTGACGAGCATTATCGTAACCTGGTCATCCAAGAGCGAGGGAAGCTATCCACTGGGGCTGTTAAGAAGAAAGATAAGAGAAAGAAAAAGGAAAAGAAAGACAAGAAGGGCAAAGAGACCTCCAAAAGTCCCCTGGTGAGTCAGCGAATGCCTGCTTCTAGAGGGGCCAAGGCTGAGAGCTGAGGGGATATTGGGAACTCTAGATGTTTATTCAGAAGAAAGGCCCAGTGGTCTACTTCCAAAAAATCAATCATTGAAACCTTATGGAGTACGGTTCTATTGACACACATGGGGTTGCCAACTGTATTTTTTTTTCTTTTTTTTTGGTGCTTACAGCTGGGTTGAGAGATTAAGATTAATAATATAGTAAATTCTTTATGGTACATCATTGAAACTGTGCCTGTCTTCTGGTAAATTTTCCTTTGAGCTCCTAGAAGTTATTAGTATCTCCAAACAATTCCTTTTGTTTTCTTTTTGGAAGCACATGTTGTATGATAGGGTTAGAGAGAGGGCAAGAGTTCTGTTGAGGATGGTATTTTGCAGTAGTCTAAGAAGTGATGCCATCTGCCCCCTGAGAGTGAGTGCGGTTTGGCTGAGGCCAGTGGGCCTGGATGAGTGGAGGAGTGTCATTCCTCTTCTTTCAGAGTCAGGTTTTCCTAGTGTGGATTCATTATTTGTCTTCAAGTGGTATGAATTCCTAGGTGTCAGTTACAGCCATAGTTCAGTTGTCAGAATACCAGTGCCTTCAAGATCCAGAAAAGAAAAGTGTTGGGCTTTTTCTGCTCCCGTGGATTGTCTTTGTGGCCAGTGTCTTAGTTGGTGTTGGAAAACTAAAATTTGATTGCAACATGACCACCTTGGTTCAAGTAGCTTTTTTTTTTTTTTTTTTTTTTTTAAGTGTCTCACAGTAGATAGAATTTTATTTCTCTGTAACAGTGTGCCACTTCAGGCATGTGGCACAGAGAGTGTCAATGGCCCCACTTCATGGGGTCAACCAGATACCAGATCCTTCTCTACCATTGTTCCTCACCCTCTAGAGTGTGGTCCTCATCTGCATGGTCAAAACTAACCCAGTGTCATCAAGTTGCTTTTTTACTCAGAGTTCAAAATGCTCTTTCCCATTATTGCTATATTTGCCCCTCCAGTATGTCTGAACTTAGAAGGCAGAGCTCTGATCCTTATTTTGTAGGTAGAGAAGCTAAGGCTGGGAGCCATGCTGAAATGAAGCCCAGGCTCTCCTGGAACACTGTGGCAGTGCAGGGGAACTCAGGCCTTCTTCCCTTCACCCAGGTGTGGGCAGGCGGGGTACTGTATGGAGAGATGATATAGCAACGTAGTTCAGCCGGAGGGGGGATCACTGGGAATATCTTTTCTACCCTCACAGTGGTCCGGTTGTTTTTGCTCTTTTGTTTATAGTCTTATTTCCTGCCAGAACCTGGAGCTTATTTCTTGGTAAAGATATTCTCCATCTTCCTTCCCAGGAGGTCAGTTCTGGCTTTGAATGATTGCCGATGAATTTATCCTTTTTATCATTTCCAGGCTCTACAGATACTCCTCCCTCCATCCCACCCCCCACGTATTACTCATGGTTCTGAGAAACAAGATAACAAGCCCATTCCTCTGGATAGAGAAAGGAGAGCAGATAATTTCTAAATAGGTTGAATTACTTAATAGTATAATGTATTTGAAAAGCAAAAGATGGATGATGGGCTTTTCACTAGCCCAGGATTATTTTAAATGATACCCAGGTATTTGGGCAGGTGGACTAAAGATGAGCAGAGGGAATGAGATAAGGAGTCTAGGGTGGAGGTGGGTAACAGACTGAGTTCTAGGTGTGTGACCATGCTCATGGAGCTCTCTGTTAAAAAGTGTTCCTTCTTTGGTTTCAGGAGGTGAGGACAATTGGACAACCCTGGGCTGCCAGTCTGGTTCTTACAGCTGAGAGCAGGCACCTCAAACCTGATTTTGTCCAGGGGTCAGGCTTGAGCCAAGTGGTTGGCTTGGGCTCTCTGGAGGTGTGCACTCACAGGCTGGGTGGTGTTTAGTGTGAATGTCTGCAGAGAGTGATTGATTTTTGTAGGGTTTCTTCTAGCTGTGAGATTCTGTGATTGTGTGGACCTCTCTCAAGCAGGACCAACTCATGCCGTTGGTAGAAGACTCTAGACTGTTTTTCCAAGGTTCAGGACACTGGTTATTCTTCCCCTCTTTTCTCCCTCCTTTGGACATTTCTGGTAGTCCTTGATAAGGTTGGTGGGCTTTATAAAATTGACCAATCACAGAACCTGAGAGCTAGATGGTACCTTAAGGGTAATCTAGTTGGTAATTTTATTTTAGGGATAATCTGGTAATTTCAGACTGTTGTTAGTAGTAAAGCCCTGTCTTCAAATCACTTCCTCCATAGAAGTCCAGTTAATAAAGAAGTGGAGTTGCTCTGGCTGAAGTTGGGGGGTGGGTCTTGGCAACCCCCCCTCACACACATGCGCACAAAAGTGACCCCTGATACCCTGTGGTATGACCCTCTCCCTCAGGTTCTGTGGAGTGAGATTTGCAAGCCATGATCTAGTCCAGGCTCATCTTTATAAATAAGAAAACTGGGGCCCAGAAAACAACGTAATTTCAGATCAAGGGACTTTTTCTTCCCTCTTTGGTTTGTGCTTTACTTTAAATGGAGGGTGGGTTTCTGCCAAGGGATTGCCAAGGGCTTAGGCAGCAAGTGTAAACCTGAACTATTTTGTCTTAGTTTTCTCTGCATGTTTATATATCCATCTAGGAAACACAGCCTGAGCAGGGACTTCTGCCTTCTTCCTCCTTTCTTCGCGGCCCATCCCCTCTCCCAGCACCTGGGCTTGCTGGTTTGGACCTAGAGCAAGAGATGCAGGCTAGAAGTGAGGGCTCCTTTAAGAAAGGGAAGAGCTCATGCATGCTGGGCGACACCCCTTGGCCTCTCGTGGGCACCCTGCCCAGCAAGCTGCAGCCACTGTCCAAAGGCCAAGCTTCGCGAACCCACCAGATCTTTGCCGACGTGGAGAAAATCTTAGGCAGGGCCCCAGCCCAATGCAGGACAGAATTAGGTGATCAACAGGATCTGGAGAAACCCCAGAAGCCAACAGAGAAAGTCTATCTGGGGTTTTCAGACCCTGAAGTAGAAGAGCTGGAAATGAGGACCAGACAGCAGAAACCCAGTGCTCCGGGCCCTGAGAACGTCAGGCCTCTCCAGAGTGGGCAGGATGCGGTAGAAAGCAGGAGCCAGGCCTCTATCCACTCAAAGCTTTCAGAAACCATCAAGGGCCCGCAGCTGAAAGGGGAGCAGCACAGCCACAACATAGCCAAGCTGAGCTCCACAGGCCCTGGGGGGGACAAGGGCCAGAGCCCTATCTCTTTGCCGTCCCCTGGGGAAGAGCCCTCCCTGTCCCCTTGTTCTTCTGACCATATACTGCCTACCAGGAAAGATAAGCTGTTCTTGTTAGATAGCAGCCCATTTAAAGACCTGAGTTGGCAGGGAGTTCCTGGGGAAGGTGGGAGCATGGGCAGGGGGAGGAGGAGGAGAGAGCCCCCAGAATTGTGGATGGGACAAGTCTCCAAGCTTGTCAACAAGGACACCCCAGGGAGCAGCAAGGAAACAGAGCCTAGTGACCCTGAGGCTCCAGGGGCCTCAGCTGAAGATATACCTCAGGGACTCTTTCTGATACCACGTGATACCCTGGCATCAGAAACAGCTCAGAATACCCCTTCAGGGATTGCCCCTGAAGTCTCTCCTGGCAGTGAGAAGAGACAACCCCCAGTGTGTCCAGGGTTCCCTGATGAAGGTAGGAAGCCTAGTGTGTCTGGGCCTGACTTGGAGAGCAAAAGCAGCAGCAGCCTGGCCTCACACCTTGGCTCTCAGGTTCTGGGTGAGGTGAACAACTTCCCTTGGGACCTGCAGAGCTCACGGGAATCTGAGTCAGGAGGGGATCAGTCAGGTCCTAGAGCTCAACACGGCAACCCGTTCCTAGCGCCCCAGTTGTCCCACATCCAGAGCTCTGCAGATGAGCAGTCAGAGAGTGAAGACTACTCTGAGGATCAGAGGTTCTACCAGCACATCCTGCAGATGGTCAAGATCTCCAGGCGGCTGGAGGGCCTGGGGCTGCCTGAGAGCATGCAGGAAATGCCATGCAAAGACATCACCAGCATGGTCCGTTGCATGGCAGCTGAGTCTAGTGAGGGTGAACATGAAGCCATCAGAGCCCTAGAGAGGGACTCGAGGTTTCCAGCTTGGGGGCCAGAGCTGCAGCAGCATCCTCAGGAGATGGCTCTTGCCCCTGCTGCGCAGGAGGCCTCTCAGCAAGCCGATTTCCAGCCGAGCAGCAGCCCCCTCAGGCAGGGGCTAATTGAGCTGAGCTCCAGCAGACACCTGGCTGCAGAGCCAGGCAAGATGCAGCTTCTCAACCAGGTATGCTTCATAGAGAGCATGGCCTAAAGGCCTCAGTGAACTTAGCAGGAGGGAGCCGACTGAGCTTATGTGTTAACATAGACATCAGGTCTGCATTCCTGTATTCCTCCTCCTTTGGTAAATACAGATCCCTTAACTATGCAGTATCGCCATATTGTGGGATGATGTGTATTTCATGTTTCTTCTACCCCATTGCCTGTAAGATAGGGGCTGAGGGTATCTATGATTTCCCTTCCCTGCATCTGACTGTAATTTATGTGTGGTTCACTTATGCTCTGAAGATGATCAGTTTTGAGGATGAGCAAGGTGGTGCTATCCTGGTACTCCTACAGGATTTAGGTGCCTTCCCGGGATTTGGGAGGCCTTTTCCATCAGCGGATGATAGAGAGAGGCCCTTTCAAGTAGGTACTCTACACCAAGCTCCAAACTCAGTCCCTTGTTTGAGTCACACAGAAAAGGAGAGTTAATGCTCACGTGAGGGCTGGAAGCCGAGACCGTCTCTTTCCACCCAGTGAGCTGCTTGTGCTCCTTGCTTCCCAGGGTCCCCAGGAAACCCTGTGAATAACCTGTTTGTCACTGTGCAGACCGTATGTGTGACTTCACTTCCTCCCCCCACCGGGACGCACCAAAGGGCTGAGCCTGCCCTATCACTCTGACCCTTTTTCCCTTTAAAGAGTCACACCATATTCTTCAGAAGAAATCAAGCTGGATTAGAAACCATGGGGAAAGATCAGTCTGAACTTCCCGGCCAGTCTTCTTGTGTCGCCCAGCTGTGGCTTTACCCAGTTGTTAGCTCTGGTTTCTAATTGCCGGTGTGCACTGGCTCTCCGCCAGCTCTAATAACTACTGTAGCACTATAAATATCAGATAAGCTCCAGATTATCCTGCAAGTTTTCATTAGCCCAATGGCAGCAAGTTTATCCGCTCTGAAGGACAACGCCACGCACAGCCCCATACTCAGAGTTAATGGCCATCTATAGAAGATGATCAGCCAGGAGCCAGGAATGTATAATTTCCCTGCTAACCACTGATTTGATAAAGGCCTGGGAGAACAATGCCCTCAGCATGCCTGTCTCCCTCTCTCAAGCCCCCAACACGTTAGCAAATTAGCCATGTTAGGAGTCTGTAATTTTCCATAAATACAGTGTGGGAAGAATTTTTGCTTGCTGATACACCAAGGTCAGTTGGAAGGGCTGAAGCTGGGAGGAGCAGGCCCGGTTTGCTCACAGTTCACCTCAAACAAGCTTTCCTGGGTCTTTTGCTCCACAACTAGGAGGTAGTATAAAATGCTTAGAGGCAGACCTGTTTTCCAATCCCGTCTCTGCCCGTTGCTGGCCCTGTGGCTTTGGGCAAACTTCTTAACCTCACCAGCCTCTGCTCATATGGGGACTGTGGATAGAAGTCAAGCCTGCCGCAGGTTGTTGTCAGAGTAAAATGAGACAGTGCATGTGAGGTGCTTAGCCCAGTGCCTGGTGCATGGGTAAGGCTGGCTAATTCTATTGCTATCAGCTTGCTTTCTCCCTACCAGAGAGCCTCAACACCAGGCCAGGTGATTGGGAATGGTTCTCATCTCACCTCTCAGGTGAACATCTGATGCCCTCCTCATGCAGAAACAGGCCTGATGGTCTGGCCCCTGGGCTAAGGACGTGGGTGACCAGACGGGCCAACTGCACTTCCTCAGCCTGAACTCCTCTGGGTTCCTTCTTCTCTCCAGTCCCTGCGGGGTCAGAGAGGAATGGAATTTTTGTGTCTTTGAGGAATGAATTTTAAAGGGCTGTTTGTAAATTGTACCCAGAATGCTATCCCTGCCTCTATTTCTGATAAGCCCAAGTTATTGTAATGTGGTTCCCTATGATAATGACAATCCTGTAACATTGGTGTAGCCCTGGGCCCACATACCCACTTACATTCATTATCTCATTCGAGCTTCTGAACAAACCTTCTTAAGTGGCAAGGTGCACTTCATGTCTGTCCTACAGATGAGCAAACTGAGGAATCCGAGTGTCTGGGAGTCGCCCAAGGTCTCGCAAATCCAGACTCCCAGCCTGGTTTCTTTCCCCACTCCTCGCTGGCATGAAGCCTTCATTTGGCCCTCCTGCCAACAGGGAAAGGGACTGGTTAGTTCCATTTCTGCCCTTGCAAGGTTCTTTGCAGCCGCCTCTGTCTTCCTCAGCAGTGTTGAGGGCAAAGAAAGTTCTTTGGTTGCTTATGCATATTTTTTCATAATTAATGTTTATTTGTTTCAAAGTAATACATACCCATAGCTGAAAAAGTCAAATAATAACCAAAGGGCATATAACATACTACAGCAGCTCTCTGATGTGCATAGCCCTCCCCAGAGGCAGCGACTTTCTTCTGGTGTTTACTTCCACAGTTCTAGACAGTAGGCTTATATTGCTTTTTCTTGATTCATTAACTTTCAACTTTACCTGTGGAGACTTTTCATGGTGGCAGATGAGGATTTTGTCTCTGCTTCCCCTCCCCCCCACTTCCTGTATGGCTTCTGAGAGGAGAGCAGAGTCCTATGCAGCATCTGCCAGATGTAAAAGAACTGTTTACTGTGAGAGAGCCGCAGAATTATGAGAAGCAGGAAACCAGCCTGTGATTTCTCACACAGTTGACACGATGGTAATTTCTGGATGTTGTGTTTCATTAGCAGCCTCTGAGCGGAGGTGGTTTAAATTTGAGCGGGCAAGATTTAGATGTTTTATTTTTGTATCTGTCCCCAACACTCTAGAGCCCATGGTGTCTTGGGTTTGTAATGAGAGGTTTTTCTTGCCCAGGCCCTGGGTTCCTCATTAGCCCCAGTCCACGTTCCTCTTGGAGGGCTGGCTCCATTACGAGGGCTTGCGGAGGCCTCAGCCTCTGCTCTTCGTGGATCTCAAAGTGTGAGCCTGGGAAGCTCAGTGGAGTCCGGTCAGCTCGGAGAACTCACGCTGGTAAATATTTTCTCTTATGTTCATTGTGTTTAGTTACTATGGCGCCTCCTGGGTCCCATGCTAGGAGCCATGGCCCATAGATGAGAAACAGCACAGGCTGAGTGTTCAAAATTCATTATCTTGTTGGGAAGATTAGTCACACTGTGTGATGCTGGATGTGGACTCTGGGCAGTTGAGAATGAACCCAGCTGTAGAGACTTCCATGCTACTTTCCTAGTCTATGCAGCCAGGGCAGTAGGACTTGGAGAAGAGAGGGATCAATGTGAGCTGGAGTGGCTAGGGACAGCTTTGTGGACATAGTGGGACTAGATCTAGGAGATGTTTAAGTAGAAAGGGAGAGTGGGGAAGACATTGTAAAGGTCTTACTAATGAGTGCCTTGACTTACCTTTCTATTCTGGAGCCTTCACAGGGTCTGAAGACTTCTGCTTTTACAAAGGGTCTCTTGGAGTCCATTCATGAGGATAAGAATGCTCTCAACCTCTTGGCTTTAGGGGAGGAGACCAATGAGGAAGAGGAGGAGGAGAGTGACAACCAGGTAATGATGAAGTCCTCCCCCTGGCCTTGAAACCCTCTGTGCCATTTTGAAAACAAGGGAAAATTATTTGCCAGGCACCACTTCTTTTCTTGACCAGTCTCTATGCTTCCTTGGTCTAGCCCAGAAAGCATAACTAACAACGGATCTCTTGGCCATTTTCTTGGCACAAAGCATTGTTCACGCTGGGTAAACTGCAGTGTTAGTGGAGGTCCTGCCTGAAAGTCCCCTGAAGCCCCCCCTGGACACTGCCTGCCAGCTCAGCAGTACCCCACTTCTCCTCCACTTGCCTATCACCCTGGGCTGACCAGTTTGCTTAGACTGACCCCTTGTAATTATTTTTTTCAGAGTCTCCGCAGCTCAAGTGAGCTTCTTAAGAACCTGCACCTGGACATCGGGGCATTGGGGGGTGACTTTGAGTATGAGGTAAGAGCTTGAAGCCCCTGCAATCAAATGCTCCAGCCTGGTGTGTCCCTCCTTCTTTATTAAGCCGTTCTACTTTGTGGGGTGCATATTTGGAAAGAGAACCATTTCATCTCAGTCTGGTCCAGATGGCATTTCTGGGACTTGGGGAAGGACAAGAGGGGAAAGGAATTTATTCGTTTATCAAACAACCACCATTCATTGAATACTTCCAGATGAGGCACTCCGCTGGGTGCTGTTGGTCAATCAGATGTAAATGAGATATGGTTTGCTGCCCTCTGAGATCTTATAGTCTCATAGAAGAGAGAATTAAATGACTAGAACACAGGGCAGAATGTGATGAGGCCGTAAGGAAGGTAAGACAGGGTGCTGTGGGAGGGGAGAACCCTGGGGGCTCCTGTCCATTTGGGGTGACCACAGAAAGCTTTATTGAGAAGCTGACGTCTGAGGTGAGCCAGGAAGGATGATGGGCAGGACTAGAGGTGAGTGGTGAGAGAGAGGCAGGTGGTGCAGGGTGAGTTGTGAGGAAGATGGAGCATCTTCTTCACCTGGAGTGCAGAGCGCATGTGGGAGAGGAGTGAGAGATAAAACTGTGGAGGCAGGTTGGGGCTGGGTTATGGAGGGCCTCAAGTGCCAGGCTGAGAAGTTTGGATCTGATTACACATCACACAGGCATTGGGAGCCGTCAAAGGTTTTGAACAGAGGTGTAACATCATTCAGATTCGTAACACCTATTGAGTGCTGGCACTGTACCCAGGCACTGTGCCAAGCCCTGTGGTAGATATGAATATCAGTAAAACATGAGTCTGCCTGGGCTGTCCTCAAGGAGTTTACAGTTGAGGAGAGAGGAGGAACACTAGGTACTTGGTGCTTAGGAGCTGTTCAGTACATGTTGAATGAATGAATATTTAGGAAACTATAAAGCAGAGAGTATGTGTCAACAGCTATAGCACAGGTGTACTGTTTCTGGGAGTTTTGAGGAGGAAGACATTATTTGACTAGGGATCAGGGAAAAGTTGGTGGAAGAGATGACCATTTGACTTGGGTCTTGAAGAGTAGGTAAGTTTTAGACATGGGGGATGTAAGGGAATATTTCAGGCAATGAACAGCTTGAGCAAAGGCACAAGGGCTGGGAAATGCAGAATATGGATGAGAATGGCTTCCAGAATATCCTCATGAGTAGTTTTATTGCTTCTAATGTCTTTCTCCCTAGTCTGTCCTCCACTGCCACCAGAATGCTCTTTATAAAAAACAAGCAAAAACAAAAAACCCCAGAACTCATCATGTCATAATACCTAGAAACTCACAGTGAGTTTTTGTACTTGGAAAGGAACATTCCCTGCTATATGTACTTTGCCTAGTTCCCAATTTATTAATTTTTAAACAGTTAACATTTCTCTAAATATTCCCAAAGTATTCACACAAACAATAAATCATAAAGTCAACAAGTTAGATTTCCCCATACATTTAAATATTGACCGTAAGCTTAATCAATTAAACTTTTCACAAGTCTAATATATCAGATACTTTAAACATCTTAAAATCAAACAGGTCACTCACACTTTATAAGAATATTCATAAAACTGATCAGTAAAACAAGTGTCTATATCATGGATTTAAATTAGCTTCCTTAAATTATCCCTTATTATTATGTTCTTATTATCCCTTATTATGTTCTTACTGTTTCTGACCCTTATTGCCAGATCTTCACCTCACCTTCAGAGCCAGGGTTAATGTCTCAGGCCAGCAGAGGCTGCTGGCTGATGGGCCGTATTTTGGGCCTTGAGATCGGAGACGTAGATGGGTCTTCTAGCGTGATCCAGCTCTAGCCACTGGGTAGGCCCCTTTTTATAATTAGACTTTCTCTATTACCTCAGGAATTGCCCAAATTTTTGGCTCTGACCAATCAGATATATTTTGATTTTTTATACTGTCAACGTTGTTAGTTGCTGTTGGTCGGCTCCGACTTATGGCAACCGTATATATGATAGAGTGAAACATTGCCTGGTCTGTGCCATCTTCATCATCACTGGTATGTTTGAGTCCTTTGTTGTGGCTTTTATAGTGCCTTCCGACCTTGGGGGCTCACCTTCCAGCACTCTATCGGACACTTTTCTGTTGTGAGCCATAGGATTTTCATTGGCTAATTTTCGTAAGTTGATTGCCAGGCCTTTCTTCCTAGTCTGTATCTTAGTCTGGAAGCTCTGCTAAAACGTGTCCAGCATGGATGACTCTGCTGGTATTTGAAATACCACTAGCATAGCTTGCAGCATCACAGCAACATGCCAGCCACCGCAATATGACAAACGTAACAGATGGGTGGTGGTGTAATTTTAATACTTCTGCCAAACGTGACACTTTTTTTTTTCTCTGAGTGTCTCGTCTTTATCATTAACCTGATATCTATCTGATTTGAAACTGTTCCTTCTGAGTGGGGCCTGGTCTGGTTGGGCTAAATCAAAAGCCTACAGTCTATTTGGTTCCCTGAAATTACAACTTTTTTATCTTCTTATCTGCCATCAAGACCTGTAATGCTGATAGAATCAAAGGAGGGGCTCAGATTTTGAGCCTAGAAGGGTGACTCTGAGGAGGAATAGGGGTGTCAGGAGGACTTTTTTGTTTTTGAAGAGAGAGGACAGTCTTCACGAGGCTGAGCAAGTTGGGAGTAGAGATTCTGCCATATTCATGTCTGTATGTCCAGCTTCTAGCCTAATGCCTGGAACATAGGAAGCACTTAAGGTAAGTTTTGCTGCTCATTTGAGAGAATGAATAAGTGAATGAATGAATGAGCCATGCTGGGACAGGGGGATATCCAGGCAGTTGCAGTGTGCTGTTTTCTTCCTTTGGCTTTCCCAGGTTCTGGGTAGAGTGGATTCTTGGTCCCTGCTGTCAGCTGGTGGACTGAAGATCCCAATGTGAACTGATCATGATTGCACTTTATTTTGGGCTAGTTAATTTTTACTTCATAATAGATTATAAATGTCAACAAACAAAGGGATTTTCTTATTTGACATGTCCTGAATTTCCAAAAGCTTTCCTTCTGATGAGTCTGTGCCTCTTTGTGGGAATGGGAGCTTTTTAACGTATTTTTATAACCTCTTTAATATAAATAGGCAAACCCGTGTGATTGGGGGAAATGCCTGGAGTGGGAGGTATTAAATACACCTCCTACCCTTGTCTCTAGCATCCCGGTAGATTTAGTTCTTTTCACCACATGGAGTGTTGGGTTCCTATGTTCTAACCTCAGGCAGCAGCTAGAGCTTTTCCTGTTGGGGAAAATTAGTGGTGGGGATGAATGGGGATTTCAGGACAGAGGAAACTCCTTCCACCTGGGCCCTGTCCTTTGAAAATGACTTTTGTTCCAGTTGACAGTCCTTGGATCCTCTGAGCTGACCACCTTTGCCTACTCCTGGGCATCCAGGCAGCCCTAGATGATCTCCTTCTGTGCTTAGTTCTACCCTGTCCCGCTGTTGACAGTCACTTTGCTCATGATTCCATGAGAGGGCAGTAGGATGGTACGAATGCTCCTCTCGCTCCATCTCCTTCTCCCTCCCTCTCCTGCCTTCCAGCTTACACCCATTTCTAGTCTATTACAGAATCAGAAAGCGAAGGTTCATGGAACAGATGCTGAGAATGGGTGTGAGTGAAAGTGGGGAGGCTGAAGGGCAGGCGAGAAGGCAGCATGTGGCGCTGGTGAAAAGCCCATCAGTGGATCAAAGGAGAGGGAGGGAGCTTGGGCTTCGAAATAACAGGCAATGATGTCAGTGTGATTTGAAGGCACTAGCAACACCAGGGAGCAGTGCAGCGAATGGAGACTGAGCGGGAATGAGATGTGGGAAATCGGCTGGACCGATAGCTGGCTTGGTGGGGCCCTCCCCAGGACAGGATCACAAGATCGGTGCCTGGGCCTCATTGCTCAGCTCCCCCACTTGCCTACCCCGTCCTGTACCATGAGGGTTATAGGAGCCCCCGCCTTTGTGCTGTGAGCAGGGGGAGGGGGCTTGCAACCCTGCAGCCCTCCTGGCTTTGAGGGGGTATGTTAAATATTCATGAAGTGGTTCTTTCAGGCACTCTCCTGTACCCTCTCCTCATGCAGATGGCAAGGTCTTTCTTAAAAAAGCAACATAAATTTGCCTTGAGATACTCAAGGACCTGGGGCTGTGACAGGAAGACACAGAAGGAGATAGAAGGACTGTGAGCTGAGAGCAAAGCTGTGCTGAAGGTGTGCCCCCCCCCCTTGCCTGCCCTCTGGCAGAAGACTGTGTCACCGGTGCCTGGAGGTGCATTCCAATGGGGCTTCGTGCCTTGGGGCCCAGTGACTCGATGGCTCGATGATGGACACATGGGGGTGGCTGGAGAGTAAAGGGGAAGTCAGATGAGTTTTCAAGACACTCAGCTTTCATTTATCCGTTTGTGGGTAATGTGCAACAAATGTTTATTCTCCCTCTGCCTTCCCCACCTCCATGTGCTTCTGGCTGTCTTGTCTTTGCCTTTAGTTGACAAGGGTGCAGGAAGTGCATGTCCATTGGGTATCAGCCATGTTTTACTATTTGAATGTAGGTAAGCACACTGGAATAAGCCCTACCTTAAGAAATTAAGCTTGCAAATTGGGTAGACTGGGCCTAAGATTTTTGTAGTCTGGCCATGTTCTCTCACATAGAAGAATGGGACTCTTTCTACCTATATCTAGTGTCCTCTGATTTCTGATAGGTTACTTGTTTTCTATCATCTTGAATATTAATACAGGTAGTCCCCCCCAACTTACAACAGGGTTCTGTTCCAACGGCTCCGTTGTAAGTCAATTCTGACGTAAGTCGAATATCTCATTTTTTTTCAATTTTCGTTATTATTGCCTTTTATTATCAGTATCTTTATAAATTATAACATCGAACATCTGCGAGTGAACATCTGAGAATGATAACATCAGCAAATTACATGCTGCAATATGGTATGTAATACATATTAGCAACGATAAGATGTGCCAAAAAAAAGAGTTGTAATTACGGTTCATAGTAACTCAAATATGTCGTAAGTCAGGGACTCCCTGTAGTTAACATTTATTTAGCCACTTACTATTTAATAAGCACTTTCACAGATATATTTTAATCCCCATAAAACCTTATGGAATAAATATTACATCTCCATTTTGCATAGTAGGAAGGGAAGTCTCAATTCCTCACAACTGCAGGACACATTAATCGATTTTTAAAAAATTCAGTCAACAAGCATTTATTGAGCCCCTACTATGTGCTAGAAACTAGGCACTGGGGATAATAGGGAGCTAATCTGGTGAGGGAAGCAGACAAGGAGGTCAGCAATTGTAGTATAGTAGCTGTTATGCTAAAGGATGAGGAAGGCTCACCTCAGGAAGGAAGACTTCCTGGAAGAAGTGATGCTGAGGACCAGTGGGGGTTTGTCAGGGTGGGGAATGGGGGTTTGAAGCCTGGTCGTGGCAAAGTAGTGACGTCACATGATGGCTATTCACAGGACAGCAGCAGAGGATGTGTGCAGGTGTGCCTGGAGATGAACGCTGAGAAGCAGGCAGGGGCTGGGTGGAGAAGGGCTGTGTGGGCCAAGGGAGTAGGAGATGTGAACTTTGTCCTGAAGGCCATGGGACCCTATTCATGGCCTGACACCTTCTCTGGCCCCTAACCTAAGGTCTGCTTCCAGGCAGCCCTTTTGGAGCCAGGCTTCACTCCTACTTCAAGCAAGAGAGCCTTTCTTTACTCTTTGGATGAGCCTGGCCAGGTAGATTGGCCCCACTTGCTGAGTGAGGGTGTGTGGCTGGCCAGATACTCCTCACCCACCCCAAGAAACTCCCACGTCCTTCTAAGAGTCCTTGGAGCCCCACAGACTCCCTACTGAGCTCTTGCCAGGTTCTGGCTACTGTTGGGGATCTGGAGAGGAGAAGGCATCCCCCCGCTCCCCCGAAGCTGCTTGCCTCGAAGAGGAGGAGCTCACCTCACCCCCTTCTCTCACCCCAGTGATCATGGCAAATTTAGTCCGTGCTAGAGATTAGGGGTGTCAGGAGGACAGGTAGCACCGGAGGGATCCTGCCTTTGCACTGCCAGGGGTGGGAGGGAAGCCGATCCCTTCTCTGCTTCAGCCTCTGCTTTTCTTCTTGGGACAGGCTGGGGCTGGTGACAGCATCACCACTGTGTCCAGTACCTCCTTCCTTTGGGCAGGAAAGACTCATAACCAGGGTTATGTGGGACATTTCACTTTTCTCCATACTCAGCTGACTTCCTTGAGGGGAGGATCTATGTCTTGTTCTTATTTGGGTACCCCAAGGCAGTGTTTTTCACATAGAAGGTGCTCAGTGAATGAACGTGTGGATCGCAGAATATAATACGGTCGTTAAGTGCATTTGAGTCATTTTCCACTCATAGGGACCCCATGTGACGGTAGAACTTCCCCACAGGGCTTTTTTGGCTGTAATCTTTACGGAAGCACTTAACTTTTATGGAACACTTACATATGCCAGGCATAGTTCTGAGTTCCTAAGCTCATTTAAACCCTGTTGCCATTGAGTTGATTCCGATTCATGGCTACCCCGTGTGTTACAGAGTAGAACTGCTCCATAGGGTTTCCTTAGCTCAGGCAGCTGGATGGTGCAAATGGTTAAGCACTTGACCACTAGCTGAAAGACCAGTGGTTCAAAACCACCCAGAGGTGCCTCCGAAGACAGGCCTGGTGATTTGCTTCTGAAAGATCACAGCCTTGAAAACTGTATGGAGCAGTTCTACTCTGCATGCATAGGGTTGCCATAGTCAGAACCAACTCAGCGACAACTAAGAATAACTACAGTCTTTATGGAAGCATATTGCCAGGGCTTTCTTCCACAGTGCCACTGGGTGTGCACGAACCACCAGCCTTTAGGTTAGTAGTTGAGTGCAAACCGTTTTCACCACCCAGGGACCTCTTTAACTCATTAAATGAGTTGAAAAAAAAATTAACTCATTTAAAGAGTATTAACTCAGTTATTTTTCCCAACAACCCTATGAGGTAGGTACTATTATTTCCCATATTTTAGATAAAGAAACTGAGGTACTGAGAAGTAATTTTCCAAAAGTCACACAGTTGTGAGTATGGAGCCAAGATTTGAACTGAGGAAGTCTGGCTCCTAGCTAAGCTTTGTACTGCTCTGCTTTCCTGTCTCTCTCAGCCATCCTTGGAAAGCTTGGGTTAGCTTGTCAGTAGGCTGCCAGACCTGCAGGTGGATGGTCCTGTCTTTGGGCTCAATAGGTATTTCAACAGACAACATCAGTAAGTTCCAGGTTTTGGGCTTCTCCTTGGACTCTTGGAGTCTCTAGTGGTCATGTTCCTTGTTTGAGTCTTCAGGATAGGAAATCAGGAAGTCTTAAAAATCCGTGATCAAAAGCTGTTCAGACTGGCAGCCCAAGTGTTAACACAGATGTTTTCTGAGAGGAAGGCTTCTCAGCCAGAGCCTGGGAGAGATCTCTGGTCACATTTCCAAGTGAGGGTTTTCTTTCTCTATTTTGGTATACTCAGAAGAATTTAAGTAGAAGCAGCCTTAGATTTTTCATAGTCTCTAAAGTGAAGTTTGTGTGAGGGATGGGTTGTGGCAGCTCTCGAGGTATGCCGCTCAGATCTTTTTCCATGAGGCCCTGCTGAGGGGAACTCAGTCGATTGACAGCCTCCAGCTGCTGCACCCTCGGAGCCGCCTTGGTGTTCATGCCAAGGCCGTGCTCCTTCCCAGTGACTAAGCAGGGCCATTTCTGCCTGATGTGGCATGCCTCTCATGCCTGGCCAAGAGTTCCTCAACACTGCTGTGGCCCGAGGTTCTTCCTACTCAAACCCTCTTCCTGCCCTCTCTCCTGTTGCAGGTAGCAGACCTGCATCATCTTCTGAAGCCTCTCCACCTTCTCTAGGCCCCATCCTCCTTCATCCTTCACAGGCATTTCCCCCAATAAATCTCTTGCACATCTGACTCCATCTTGGCATTTGCATCTCAGAGGGCCTGAATTGACTGACGGGGCTTGAGTAGAGGACCCTGTCTGCAGGGTTGCTTATGATCAGCTGGCACAGGGGAGGCTTAGGGAGAGGCTTATTGAAGAAGGGCACCCTTTTGTTATTTTCCCCCCTGCTGCCTTTAAAAAATGAAATATCAAAATTGTAGACTTTGCTACCTTTCTCACATGATTATCCATTATCATCTGAATAAATACTGGCTTCTGAGTCTGCAACTGTATGATTTGGTTAATGGGGCTGGAATGAAGTTGCACCACTGGAGACAGATTTATTACCTGAGGGCTGATAGTGGTAAAGGGGGTGGATAGTCCAGTGTACTGGTTTCCAAGCCCTTGTGGACCAGGGGCAGGTTGGGTGTATCAGAATCACCATCAAAATTCTGATTCAGTAGATCTGGGGTGGAGCCAGGAATCTGTGTTTTAAAAAGCTGTTTGGATGTTTGATAACCATTGGTCACACAGCTAGAGTTAAGGAATAGCTATCTCTGTCTTGTAGCAAGTCTGTAAACTCCTTTTATAAATTCTTGATGTCTTCCTTCTGACATCATCTGTGCTCCCTAGGAGTCACCGAGAACAAGCCAGCCAGAGGAGAAGGATGCTTCTCTTGATTCTGATGTTGCTGGTCCCCCTACTCCCGACAAGCTCTTCAGCCAAGGTGCAGACAGCAGCCTGAGCAGTGCTGATGGCCAAGGGCAACAGGGAAGCAGGGCGGGCGCTTGGCTCCCAGGAAAAGAACAGAATCAGAAGAGTGATCCTGGGGCCTCCAAGAGTCCGGTGACCCCCAGGGTGGACGCAGAGGGTGATCAGCCTGCCAAAGCCTCTGAAAAGGAGACACCAACGGACCCAGTGGATGCTGGAAAGGAGGGCTTCAGGAAGGAAGAGGCAGCGGAGGAGCCAAAAAGGGAGATGTCTGCCCCAAAAGAGAGCGGATCAGATGCTAGTGAAGTAAGTCACTTTGTTCTGTAGGCAGTTGCTGGCTGCAACCCTGTGCTTCTGTCTTAAGCCTTGTGCAGATTCCTAGCCCCACGTCTTTATTACTGAGACAGGAGCTTCATTTGTAGGCCCTGCAATGGGCTGACAGCATCAGCTGGAACCCTTAATTGTGATGAATGTGCCCAGATCCAGCAGGACAGTAAAATCCTGAATGAAATGCTAAAACTGCTGGCACTAGAAATTCAGAGCAGTAGTTTGCTTTTCCACTGGCACCTCCCTGGGATATTAATATTCCTCTTTTCTCCTACTTCCTTCCTCTTCCCCTTTGCTGTCTCCCTCTTCTACTCCTTGACGTCAGTATGGGGTCAGTCATGGTTGCAGCAGTATGAGTTCTGTAGAGAGAACATTGTGAGGGAGGGGCTAGCACAGTTGGGAGTGCCCTGCCCCTGCACAGGTACATTAGGTTACCAGAAGACTCATTGATTTCTGTGGCTGTTTCTGAACCAACCTAAGACATGGGAGTAGTTGCTTTGGCAAGACCAGGCCAATAACATAAATGGCATGTTGGATTTTCCAACCCTTAGCCCTGTTCCTCCTCCAGGTAGATGGTGAGGTAACTCATTTAAAGAGTTTTTATCTACTTTCTAGAAAAGATACCCTCATTCCATTTTTTTTTAGGACAGGATCAAACTTCAAACTCCCAGCTTTCTAACCCTTCCACTACACTTGGCTCTTCTTACGTAAATATATCCTTGTTGATCTGACTCAGAGTGTGGCTGCTGAGTCCCAGCTGGGCTCTTTAGCCCAGGGGGATGGGGGCTGGTGCACTTGTCCAGAGAGGACGGGAGGGTCCACAGGCCTCCCTCAGGTGTTTAAGAAGGGGTAGATTTCTGTTTGGGCTGAGCCCTGTGTTGGCACCATGGCCGGAACGAAATTCACCAGACAATGCCTTAATCCTTGCTTTAGTGATCCCACCCCTCTGTGCTGTGCTGTGCATAGCTGGGTGATGTCTCTCTGTCTGTTTCCCAGGAGTCAGAGATCAGTGAACATGTGAAGGAGCTGCGACTCTCAGACTCTGCTGCTTCCGACCCCAAGTCCTTCCTTGACCTGGTGAGTTTGAGATGAGGTAGCAGAGTGGTGGTGACAAGCGGGAGAGATTTTTGAAATCCTGTGGTTATGAGGTCACTATGAATTGAAATCAACTTGACGGCAACGGGTTTGTTTTGTTTTTTTTTTTTTTTGCCTAGGATCACACAGCTAATAAGTGGAGGAGTTAGGATTCGAACTTGGGTTGTAGCTAATTCCAGTTTCTCAGCCATTAAATAAGGATAATACTACCTGCTTGATAGGTTCGTTGTGAGAAGAAAGTGAGGGAAAGAATGTGAAACATTAGCATGTAACCATTAGATAAATGTTAGCTTTTATTACTATTACTGTTGTGTGAATTGCTTGTGAGGTCATGTGAGTTGCTTCTGGGCTTTAGCTGAATGTTACATGGGCCTAGGAGGGTAGATAGAGCCCTGGTGGTACAGTGGTTAAGAGCTCGGGCTGCTAACCAAAAGGTCGGCAGTTCGAATCCACCACTTCTTGGAAACCCTATGGAGCAGTTCTACTCTGTCATAGGGTCTCTATGAGTCGAAGTAAATTCGATGGCAACAGATTTTTACAGGAGGGTAGAGACTGGTTTTATGTGTGTGTGTATGTGTGTGTGACCACGGAGCTATTGTGAGGACCAGTCCCCAGGCTCTGGCCAAGAGGAATGTTGTGGTTTTATTTCTAAAGTCAAGTCTTTGTCCTGAAATGCCAGCATCCATGGTTTCTTTGTCCTAGACCTTCCACCCAGCCTGCTGTATCCTGGTTTAGTTTGCCAGCTCTGTATCTGAGGGGAGTAGTTTGGGGTGGTTTATTGGCAGGGCATTACCTCTAGAAACTCTCCTCCATCTGTTTGGAGGAGGCAGATCAAAGGGAAGGGATTAGTGGGAAAGGGTCAGGGATGAACAGTAATGATATGAGAGGGTGCAGTGGAATTAGAAGGCTGTGTGCTGCAGCCCCTCACTGAGCCGTGGGCTTAGGAGGCAGATGGCAGCTGCATTAAGTGGAGTAGAACTCAAACTGAAGGGAAAATGTCACCCAAAAAGAAGAAAAACCCACACACTAGGAAGGGAAGGCAAAAAGTCATCGTTGGCAAAAACCATCCATGAAGAATAGCCTTGTCAGAGAATGCTTTGAAGCAAGAGGTCTGGCCCTTCTAAAGGAGTCACCCGTGTGGAGAAGTGTGCCCATCAGCATTTTTCTTCTCTCTGGGAGGGAATGGAGGAAGCCATGGACAGCAGGACCAGACCTTGGCTGGGCAGCCCGCCATTAATCAGGGCTGATGACAGAACTGTCCCCATTAGCATGTTGGCAGGCAGCAATCCTTCACTTAGCCCAGCAGGGATCTTGGGCTCGGAGGGGGTGGGATCATGGTCCTGTGGCAGTCAAAGGGCAGGAAGGAGCTGGCACCAGCGTGGGCACCTGCTGCCTGTGGAGGAGCAGCCACAGATGAATCCCCATTGTCCGGAGGGTCACATGCGTGGGAAGGGGAAGGAAGGAGCTGGGGCTGAGCCTACCAAGCCTCGTTTCTAGGCTGCCCACGGTTTCCTGGGCCCTTTGACCTCTACTGGTGCCCTGGTTGGACACTGGATGGGGCAAGACAGCTGGAGAGTGACATGCTTTGCAGCTTGTGTCACAGAAAGCTTGGTCTTTGGAGTCAGCCCAGGGGCACATCTGTCCCTGTGCCCCTCTGATTATCTGCTTGGGGACCTTGGGCAAATCACTTGTGCTCTTAAACCTGCTTCCTCATCTGTAAGATGCGGCTAAAGTATCAGTCTTACAGTGTTATTTTTTTCCTCATCATTTTATTATGAAAATTTTCAAACATACAGAAAAGTTAAAAGAATTTTACAGTGAACACCCATATACTCACCAGCTAGAGTCTACAATTTACATTTTACCATGCTTGCTTTATCAAATGTCTGTCCATGTATTCACAGGGTTATTTGGAAGTTTACATTTATTACACTCAAACCAAACCTGTTGCGATTGAGTTGATTCCAACCCCTACCAACCCTATAGGACAGGGTAGAACTGTCCTATAGGGTTTCCAATGCTGTACGTCTTTACAGAAGCAGACTGCCACATCTTTCGCCTGTGGAGCAGCTGGTGGGTTTGAACTGCTGACCTTTCGGTTAGCAGCCAACCACTTAACCACTGTGCCACCAGGATGTCAAAGTGTCTAGCACAGTGCCTGGCACATAGCAGATGTCTTTCTGGGAGGTTGGAGTAGGGGTGAAGAAGCCCTGGTGGACCTCCTGTCTCCATGTCTCTAGGACTTTGGTTTTCACGGACGGATTGCAGAGCACCTGCTGGATGTTAATGTGCTTTCCCCGGTCCTGGAGGGAGCCCGCTGGGAGGTGAGCCTCTTTGGGTGGGTGGGCTGGGCTGGGGCCTCACTTTTCCTGGCAGCCACCTTTTGGGATAACCCAGAGCTGAGCACTACCTATCACCGGATGCATTTCTGGGAGTTCTCTCCCTTCTTGTTTGTTAGGAATGGCCTGACTCTGTGTCTTTGATGGGGTTTCTGACCATTCTTGTTCAGTTGCTGCTATGAATGAAAGCATTTTCCCCCGTTTATTTATCTGTTTATTAATTCAGCAACTGAGGGCTGACTGTTCATGTGCTGTGTAGATTGTGGGGCTGGGATTATGAGGCTCTTCACAAGCTGGCCCATCCAACCTTCCAGTGTCCTCTTCAGCCCATCTCCCATGCACCAGCCACGTGCAACCACTAAGCATTCCTGGAGCACACCGTCCACTTCCTTACTACCCTGAGCTGTACTTATTCCCCTTTTGTTCCTGGCCAGCTCTTTCTCAGACTTGGAGGCCCATCACTGACGTCACCTCCTCCAAGCAGGATAAAGTGATCCTTCGGTTTGCTTGTCTTAATACTTCTTGTTTTGTTTTATGATTGTCTGTCTCTCCTTCCAGATGTAAGCTCTGTGTGGGCATGGATGTCATCCGACCCAGCGTAGGGTACACAGATGACTCAAACACAGATCCTGTCTTAGGAGCTTAAAGCAAAGAAGATCATTTTTCTCCTCTGTGGGTTTGTTAAGAGGAGAGGTTTTGACACATTGTCTCTGCAAGTTAAGAGAATGTTTGGTTTGGGTGAAATGGATATTTGTTGGGTGCAACAAACAAGATGTTTAGTATGAACCAAGACTGGTCATCCTTTGTGAAATGAGGGCTGGAGACGGTAGAGTTTTCGGGCTGATTGCATTTATTTGAGCACAACATGTCCCTCTCATCTCTGGGCCACTGCTCAGCCACCAGGTTCCTGCTGGACCTTGGTCACTTCTGTTTGCAGCACTACAGGGATGTCAAAGCATAGTCAAGGTAGTAGGATTAATCGGGAAGGGTTTGGAGCAGGTGACTTGTGAGGCCACTTTGACACTGGGTAAGCGGGAAAGCTACAGAGTTGGCAGGGGGTTCATTTCTTTTCCACTGCTCTGGCTCCAGAAACTTGGCCAATATCAGAATTACTTGGGAGCTTTACAAAAGACAGATATCTAGGTCCTACCTAAGACTTAATGAGGCCAGCCAACTTCTTTTCGGGTCGTGCTGCTTGGGATAAAGCAATGGTAGGGCCTGGCTTAGATATGGTTCTTACTAGGTACCCCCTGAGGCAGAAAATCCTGGCAGAGAAAGCCTTAAGCTTTCCCTCATGACCAGCCAGTTGGGGTGTGGGCAGTGCTGGGTGCTCAGCTTGACTGGCCAAATAGAGCCTGTTGGGAGGTCCAGCCACTACCTCTCTCCTGTCTTCAGGGCATGGAGGAGTTGAGCAGGGAGGTGGAGCTGAAGGTATGAGCAGCTGTCCCCTTGTGGGACACGCAGAACCATAGATATGGCCCCCTTTGTCCTTCCCATAGGCTCTTTCTTTTTTTTTTAATTTTACTGTGGTGAAAATATGTATAACAAAACATATGCCATCTCAACAATTTCTGCATGTACAGTTCAGTGACGTTGATTGCATTCTTCATGTGTAACCATTCTCACTATCCTTTTCCAAATCATTCCACCACCATTACATAAACTCAGTGCTCCCTAAGCAGACTCTGATCTATTTTGCTATATCTTCTGGATCTCTCCCAAGGCCGGGGCCCATGCAAAGGCTTAGAACTGAGCTAAACTAGTTTTCGTTTTATTTCTTTAAAAAATTGTATAATTGACATACAGTTAAAATTCACATATTAAAATTGTACCATTTGATAAGTTTTGACAGATGTATAGCCCCTTGAAACCATCACCACAGTCAAGATAATTAATGATCATAATAAATTATAAACATAATGCATTTTATAATAAATTAGAAAAGTGATGATATAATTATTTCAATACAGAAGGTCAAAGTCCTCCACTTCCTACAGCCTCACTCCCAGAGGTGAGAACTAGTAATAGTTTCCATTAACATTTCTTGTGTACCTTTCCAGAAATTTTACTTTGTACATATAAGCATATACCTATTTTCTACTTTTTTTCTCCCTACAAAAATTGGGATTATGCTACAAAAACTGCTTGGTGATATTCCCTACCTTATTCTCTTTAATGGTTGCATAGCATTCTGCTGTGTAAATATACCATGACTTATTTAACCAGGGACTGGACTTTAAACAAAAACAAAACCCTGGAGCTGAGTTAAGGATGGGGAAATGGTGTCTTGAATAGTCTTAGGCCAGAGGCTTAGATTGTGCTTGCTGCTGTATCCCCTTTCCAACTGATGTCCTTGTCTGGTTCCTTTGGTCCCTTTTTGGGGCAAAAAGGTCCAGGAATACAGTAAAACTCTCCAAAAAGGACCGTCTGTCTATTTTCCCAAAGTATCCCCTTTTCTGTGGCGGTGGTTTTGTTCACTTTCTTGCAGAAGTACAGAAAAAGGAAACCAGCAGGGAGCAGACAGAAGGCCTTTGTCTGCAGCCAGCCCTCTTCTCTGCCTGCCTTTCTCCTCATGATACGTGGTTTATAGCCCTTCCCTGCCTCCGGCGTCAGTCCCCCAATTTTTATTACAATTGGCCTACTTTACTACCCATCCGTATGTTTTAGTTTGTAAAATGGAGTTGGCCTGTGTGATCTTTTTTCCTTGAAAAGTGCGAGAGGAGTATTCAGTGAGCTTGGTGTGATTTGTAGGGGGAAAAAGTCATGAGTTGAACACAGGAAGGGTAAAGAGGTGGGTGGGCGGGAGGACTGCAGGCCCTGCCACCGTCTGCGGGCTCTGCCCAGGCTGATGGGATCAGGAGTGGCAGCACTGGCAGGGAGCCCTTCTGCTGCAGGCACCAGGAGGTACTCACGGGTAGTGTGTCTGTTTTTGATGGAATCTAGGGGGAGCCAGGGTTTAGATCAGGCCTTGCCCGCTCGCCAGTGCCCATCCATATGGCAGACTCGGCCACAGCTGTTGGGCTCAGGCTGCCAGTGGAGAGGTGGGCACGCTGTGGGCAAGTGGGGCTGGGGACACAGCGGTGTGCCCGCCTAGCCGGGGACCCCACTGGGGAAGACAGAGTGAGCTGTCTCTTACGCCACCTCTCCTGCTAACCCTGGTGTCCCAGAACAGACGAGACCCTGTCAGTGTGACAGAAGGAGTGTAGGGCCTGGAATGGGGACTGGCAAAGCATTTTCTCCCCCTTAGCCTGAGGGAGAGGGAGAGGAGTGTGGGAAGAAGAGCTCACGTTGGTGGCACACCTTCTTGGGGTGAGAAGTTGGGTTTTGCCTACAAGATCTGATTTAATCCTCACAAGAAGCCCTGTGCGCTGTGCTTTATTGTCCCGTTTTACAGTGGAGGAGAAAGACTTCCCAAGCAGTAAGTGCTAGATCTAAGGGCTGAGTACAGGCCAGCTACACTGTGACCCCCTCACCCCCCGTAGAAAATATTTGAGATGATCAGGAATACTCCTCTTTCTTCCACCAGCTTGCTAAATTTGCCTAGACTCCCGAGCTTTAAAATGGAAAAAAAAAAAAAAAATTTTTTTTTTTTATATCTCTTTCTGGGAAGGTGCCTCATTTTCTACTGATTGGACCTGGGTACTGGGGATGGAGCTAAGGAGCTCTTTGTCTTCCTTCCTCCAAGTGCCCGGATGGTCCCTTTTTAGTCTGGCTGTAGCTGTCTCTTGTTCCACCAAGGTTCCATCTCTCCAGGATTCTTCCTCTTTAATGTAATTGCCTTCTGCCCCCAATTCTTCACACTTAATTTCACCATCCCCGTATATCCTTGGCACTGGGAAGTCTGGGGCTTCCATGGATTTGAGGTGTGCATGGATGCCTCTGCTTTCTCTTTGCAGCCGACAGTGAAGGCTTCCAGCAGCAGCAGGCAGGATTTTCTTTCTCGTGTGTTCTCCCTCAGCCTCTGGCTTACAGCTCTGTGTGCTGTGCCTATGGTTGTCTGACTCATCCTCAGGCGAGCAAGGCAGGCCCTGAGCAGCTGTGGGGCTGGGGACTTAGCCAAAGCCCCTGGGAGCTTCATTGGGCAGTGGACAGGCCTTTTGTTTCATGTCCCGTGTTGTCCCCACCCACTTGACAGCCACCTCTTAGTGCGATCTAGTACACATGGAGTCAATAGGAGGGTCAGGGGACCCAAGTGCACACTCCTCCAATATATGCTTCCCACTGCTTCTCGCCTACAGGTGCAAGGGTTGGGAAGAGAGGACAAGGTTGACAGCCAGTCCAGCCGAGATGAGCTGCAGAGCTTGCAGTCCAAAGGCTCCGAGAGGTATAGTACATGGGGGGCTGCCCCAGGGGCCTGAGAGGTGGAGTGCACCTTTGGGATGGTGTGGACTTGGGCAGAGCTCCTGGCTTTGGTTGGTATGGCTTCAGTGTGCTGCTGTCTGGAGGCAGGTGAAGAGCTGGCTGGATGACTTGCAGGGTCTGTGTGCATGTCTGTGTTTGTGTGTACACCAGTGTGCATGCATGAGCATCCCGTATTTCTGATTCTGCACAGCACAGGAATGTGAAGTGCTGCTGTGTGCATTTGGTGGGGACTTTGTGAGCTTGGCACTGTGTGTATGCCTGGCCGTGGATCAGGGCTGCGGCAGCCTGCTGGAGATCTGGGGGAGCAGTGCTAGAGAGTCGGTCCTGCAGCTCAGAGCTCTGAGCCAGGGCCCTGCCACGTCAGAAATGGCTGCAGCTAACAGTCTGTGCATGTGTGTGTGTGCGCGTGCGTGTGTGTGTGTGCGTGCGTGTGTGTGTGTGTCTGACTGGCTTGAGTCCATGATAAGAGAGAGGCCACCACCCATTGAAATGGAAGGGAGGTGGTCATTCTACTTTTTGGACCTTGCCAAGCTATCAGCATTTTTACTTCCTTAAAGCCATAGCTTCATGCATTTTCTGTAGTCTGACCACTTGAGTCTGGTTTCTCCCCATTTTCCCCTCAGTTCTTTTGTCCCTTCCCTGACCCCAGTGATGGGATAACTCTGGGAATCGATACACCTGTGAGTGTGTCCAGCTGTCATTCCTGGCTGGGCAAATGCAGTGCAGGGCCTGGGATGCATGACTCACTTAGGCAAAAGGAGAGCTCAGGAGGGCGTCTCTTCCTGCTACGGGTCTGGCCGCTTTGCCCCCTGTGCTCTCCATAGCTGTGGGCAGGGAGGGGTCTAGCCTGGAAGGATGACTTGACCTACTATACATCCTGCCCTCCATGATTCTCTTCCTGCTCTCCAAATGGAGGGCCCTGACTCTGCTGCTCTGGCTGCCCTCACCAGGTCATCTCCTTCACTTCTGCACAGGGAGCAGCTCCAGAGTCCCCTGCCCAGCCAGGCCACTGGAGGAGGGCCTCCACGGGCCCCTGAGGGGCAGCCTGAGCAGAAGGAGGCAGGGGAGCCTGGGGAGCACTCTGCCGCCAGCCCTACCCTGCCGGTTTCCCTCCAGAGGTAAGAATGAGGTGAACCCTCCCAGGGTGATGGTGGCCTCTCCCTGGGTGCAGTTGGTATGTGTGCTGGTGCTGGGCGAGGGGAGGGGAGGGATGGGTGGGTTCGGAGAGGGACGGAAGGGAGTAGGGGTGAGCTCGCAGCCTAAGCAGCAGCAACAGAGATTTTCGGTTAGCGTCCCACAGGAGCCGGGAATGAGGAGATCTGCTTCTTCCTAGTACTCAGTCTAGAAGAAAAATTGGGGTGCACAGTCTGATTAGGGGAGCTTAGAAACTCTTGGACGAGAAAGTGTCTCTTCTGTCCCAGCTACCTTCCTGCCAGGGGCTGGGGCAGAGACTCAGCTGTTGCCCTGGCTGCTCCGTTCCCGGGGAGCCCTTTCTCCCAATGCCCTCCCTGCCATTACCCTCCTCCCAGGATGTCACTTTCTAGTCGTTCAGTAACCCATGTGGAACTCTGTTGTGCACTAGGCCCCAGGGGTATGGAGGTGCAGAGCCCCTTACCTGACGCTAGCTGAGAGGACCTTCGTGTCCCAGCCTGGCCAAGAGCCTGGTATGCATTTGCTAGTTGTTCCCCTGGCGAGAGAACGCTGCTGGTCTTAGAATCCATCCGGATGGAATGAGTCCCTGTGGGGAGGTGAGCAGCAGTGATGTGCAATCAGCAGCATCCACTGGGCATGTGCTGTGTGTAGAGCTTCTCCTTGGGTACCATAACCATTCTGCTTCCTGGGTGGGGTGTGAGTCTCTGATCTTCAGTGTAAACAGCTGGGGAAGAGGCAGGGAGAGGAGAGGGAGGCTTGAGACCTGAGGTGGGGAAACTTCGTTGGGGTTGTCTCTCTTGTCCCCATGACAACTCGTTTGATCCTGAATGGGGTGACCCTTGGGCTGCTCACCTTCCCAGTGCTTTAATGCAGTTGCTTCCTTATTGCTATCAAGGGAACAGGCCCCAAGCCCACCTGCTGCCCAAGAGAGGGGCATGGAGCAGCGCTCCCAGGCTGAGGAGCTGGGTCCTGGGCAGGAAGAGGCTGAGGAGCCTGAGGAGCAGGTGGCGGTCAGCCCCACCCCGCCAGTCTCTGCAGAGGTGTAAGGGCCCATTTTGATGTGTCTGCCCCTGTCCTCTGTGTGTTTGGATGGTCTAAGTGCCCATTTACTCTTGGGTGGCAGGGAGGGGTACTCTGACTCTGCCCCAGTGGGTGGAGTGTGGGAGGACATTGAGTGTGCCCTCAGTGCTCTGGACGCAGCCTTGAGAGCCCCAAGCGCCATCACTGAGCCTCATGTGGGTTAGCTTAGGTCCTTGGGCTCCTTGTCAGGTCCTGGCTGTGAGGGTGGAGGTGAGGGGTGACCTCGTGGCTCATTGGCAGAAACCTGGTGAATCATGTTCCCTCTCTACCAAGCACGATTTTTTTCTTAAAAGCTTTTTTTTATAGATGTTTAATTTATATACACTAAAGTACACAAATCTGAATAGTACAAGTCAATGAGTTTTAATACGTATACACACCATATAACAAGCACCCAGGTTAGATATAGAACATTTCCATTCCTTGAGAAAGTTTCTTCATTCCCCTTCTCTCTCAATAACTCTCCACCCCAGATCACCACTATTCTGGCTTCTATCTCATAGCTTTTCTAGCTCTTGAACTTCGTATAAATGGAATTATACAGTATAGAAGTCTTTTGTACCTGGGTTCTTCTGCTTAACAGGTTTTTCAGGCTTACCCATGTTGTTGCGCCAAGCACTTCTAAAATTTAGAAATCACAGTTTTTCTCCTCCTCTCCTCCCATGCTCACTTGCCCCTCTCTCACCCATTTTACAGATGAGGAAACTGAGACTCAGAGGGGTGAAGAGGTTTGCCCAAGGTCTCATCGCCAGTCAGTTGCAGGATTAGGACTAGACTCTACTCAGTAGGGCCCTAGACTTCTAGCTTTTAGTCTCCTGCCACTGCTCCTTTTCTTTACATGGAGAACAGGTGTCATGGTTTGAACTGGTCAGGTACAAAGGGATTGAGAGCCCTCAGGATCTGGGGCTGACCCTTGAGCAGAGACAGGCTCATGAACTGATGACTGCAGTGTCACCCAGAGCTGGCAGGGCATGTGAGCTCATGATCTCATGTCTTCCTTATAACATGGCAGCAGGAGTTAGTGTAGGGAAGGGCTAGCTTCATTTTTCAGATGGTGATATCCTATAATGAAAGCTATGACCTCGGGGAACTGCATGGCTTTCCTTTCCTTGGTGGCTGTGGACAGCCATGTCAGGGTGTCAGGGTGCTATCTGTAAGGACAGGAGGCGAGTGTGGGTCAAAGAGAGGAAGATCTGGCCAGAGTTCAAAGGGGCATCTTCCTGGGACCTCTGGGGCAGGTAGCAGGGGGTTAGGCAGTGAGGCTCAGGCTGGGGCCCAGGCTCCCTCAGCTCCTCCCCGGCTGCCTTGGCTGGTTAATCCCCTTACTTTGTGTTTATTCTCCCATCCCAGTGAGGCTGTCCTTGCTGGGGCCTCAGAGAAACTTTACCTGGCCACTAAGTTTAAATTTACATATTGCCCTCAGGAGATGCCTTCTGCTCCTTTCCTGAGCTTTTTCAGGTCCCGTAACTTGCGTGTTATTCATCTTCACAGCTACGTGAGGAATTGATTGGTTTTCTGGGGAGTAGTTCTGTGTCTGTCGGCTTCCAGAGATGTAGTTAAGCTGAATCCAAAGGGGTTAGGAGCGAGAGCAAGCCAGAGAGTAGGCAAGGCTAGGAGCAGCACAGCGCTTTGTAGCCAGAATGCCTGGGGCTGCGAAACAGGAATCTCCTCCCTTTTGTCGTCCCAGCATCTTCCATGGGCATTTATAGGGGGTAGATGAATTAAAACCACTGGGTTGACTGTGAGAGGAGACAAGTTCTCTTTGATTCTAACCCAGGTTTTAACGGATTCTTTCTGTGGTAGTGTACCCATTTCAACATATTCCTTGGGTACCATTTCCCCCTCCTTCGACCTTCCTTTCCTCCTTCCCTGCCTGCCACCCCTCCCTGACTTCCTTCACATGCCTGGCAGCTGCTTTATGGCCAGCCTGAAATGATCATGCCCCTACAGAATCTCCTTTTTGCCATTAACTATTGGAAACTGGGTCTTGTTGATGCTGATACCTGAGAAGTTGTCCTAGAAATCAGACCTGTCTCTTCCTCTGGCGTCTTTGACTTCTCAGTTGTCTCAGAAGTCTTTCAGGGATGCTGTTTACTGCCTTGGATCTAAGCGGGGAGTTGGGGATACTAGATCTTTAAAACTGGGGGTGGGAGAAGAGGCCCACTGCAAGCAGCCCTGCTTGCCTGAGTGCCAGATGTGCAGGCACGCCTGCTGGTGCGTGTAGCCTGGGTGCACACTGCCATCGAGCTGACGCCCATCTTTCTGCAGCATCTGTCCCTGGGGCTGCACGTAGCTACACAGCCCACAGGGAAGAAAGACATTAAAAGGTATCATCTCAGGGAAAAAGATGTTTTCAGCCAAGGTTGGAAATGAGGTGGAGGGTTGATGAGGCGGAGAGCTGCGGGGGGAGGGGCGCCCTTTCCGGGGGCAGGATTCTCAGTTGAGGTGGCAGCAGCATCTCTTACATCTGCGCCTGTTGGACTGTGTCGGGGGACTGAGAGGAAGCCGGCGTTTGAAAGGAGGGAGGCGATGGGAGTGGAGAGGAATTGACTGCAAAGCTTAAGACTGTCTCCGGTCTGAGCCGTGATTTTAGTTAAGAGGAAATGGAAGGTCTTAATGATATTTCAGAGAAGTCAGCCGCCATATATGTCTTCCTTCTCTCTCTGGCCTCAGGGGCTGAAGTGGGATTCTTAGCCCTTGCTTTCTTCTTTTGTTGTGCTGTGATCCTGCTGGCTGCCTTCCATCTGTTGTAGAGCTGGAGCTGGAGGGAGAAGGGAGTGGGTCCCCAGCAGGGAGGACTGGCCCCCTCCTCTTTTCCCCCTCCTCTGATTTGGACCTTGCCCACACGTTCCTGCTGAGGTCACCGAGCCACCAGGCCAGGCCTGCAGCAGTCTGAGCACCGTGTGAGAAGTATGACGATTTGTGTGCCAAGACCATTTTCTCAGACGATTTAGGGACTTGGAAGTACCAACATGGACTGGCCTTCAGGAAAGTCGTTCTGGGACGCTAAATACTTTATCCTGCTTATGATTTCATTACTCAGAATGTTCTCAGGGTTTTTCTTTGGGTAGTTCCTTCAAGCACCAGAGTACAAATAATGTAACAGTCCTCATTACTTTGTAGACATCTTTTTAACCAAAACGGTTATTCCTTATCTTTCCCTCCACCTAATTCAATCCAGGTTAGGTCTGAATTACTCTTACGCGTTTCCAGACATTGATTCTACCCTAGTGGGCGAAAATGTGCCATCATTGGGAGATATGGAACCATGGCCCTCCTGCTGAGCTCTTGCTACTCTCTTTGGCTTAGGGCAGGGTGTCCTGCCTGGCTTCCTTGGCAGTGTGGGAGAAGAGTTTCCTGTGTCTGGACCACAGGCAGGAAAGTGCAGGGACTCTGGCCTATTCTAGGACTCGGTGCTAGGAGACAAGCTGCTGCTTCTCCCGCTGGCTCATATGAATTGCCTCTGTTCAGTATGGTAGGCTGAGAGCAGCCTCTGGGTATGATTCCCAAATTGCTATCATGAGCCTCAAGTAGCACGCAGAACCATAGTGGGGAGATAGAAACAGGGCCATGAGCCATTCTGGGGAAGAATCCATCAGGGACAGACCTTCACTCACTCCCTACTGCTGTCATATCTCGAGCCACAGCTTCCAGGATTTGACCTCAGGCTAAAACCTACCAGGTCTTCTCAGAGCCTGTGATGGGCCGCCCTTCTCCCTAGGCTCTGGGGGACTTAGGCAGCTACAGTGGGGCTTGTCCTTAGGAACAAATGAGAAGCAGCCTTCCTGCCTGCCATTGGTGACCAAACTTGCATATGTGCCTCCAGACTGTAGAGCCCACATTAAGACTTCACACTTGATGTTCTCTATCTGTGTAAACACTTGGTGCCGAAAGGTAAGTGGATGTTAAAACTGCGGTGCTGTGCTGTTTTCTACCCTTGGAAGGCGGTCCAAAGAGCCTGCGGCTCCCCCAACGGAGCTCTCAGAAGCTGCTCTAAAGACCATGGAAGAGGCAGTGGCACAAGAACTGGAGCAAGACCAGAAGCAGCTGCTGGAATTGAGGCAAGAGAAGATACAGCAACTACGGGAGAAGCTGTGGCAGGAGGAGGAAGAGGAGATCCTCCAGCTTCACCAGCAGAAAGAGAAGTCTCTCAGGTCCTGCTCCTCCCCTTAGGCAAACTCCTCGGGGCCTCACAGTCACATGGGAGAGTGAGGGACATCCTCTTCCCACCCTGGAGACCACTGTGTGGCCCGTGGCCCAACCAAGACTGCTCAGTGCCAGAGGAATGGGATATCGGGCCAGAGCACGTGCCGTTTTGTGTTTCAGGAGGGAGCTGGGAGACATGATAGTAATCAGAGTTGTTGTTAGATGCCATCGAATCGGTTCCGGCTCATAGTGACCCTGTGTACAACAGAACGAAACACTGCCCAGTCCTGTGCTATCCTCACAATCATTATATTTGAGCCCATTGTTGCAGCCACTGGGTCAGTCCATCTTGTTGAGGGTCTTCCTCTTTTTCGGTGACCCTCTACTTTACCAAGCAGGATGTCCTTCTCTAGGGACTGGTCCCTCCTGATAACATGTCTAAAGTATGTGAGATGAAGTCTCACCATCCTTGCTTCTAAGGAGCATTCTGGCTGTGCTTCTTCCAAGACAGATTTGTTCATTCTTTGGCAGTCCATAGTATATTCAGTATTCTTTGCCAGCACATAATTCAAAATCATCCATTCTTCTTCGGTCTTCCCTATTCATTGTCCAGCTTTTGCATGCGTAAGAAGTGATTGAAAATACTATGCCTTGGGACAGGGACACCTTAGTCCTCAAAGTGATATCTTTACTTTTTAACACTTTAAAGGAGCCCTGGAGGTACAGTGGTTAAGTGCTGGGCTGCTAACCAAAAGGTTGGCAGTTCCAACCCACCAGTTGCTCCGAGGGAGAAAGTTGTCCTAAAGGGTCACTATGAGTCAGAATTGACTTGATGGCAACAGGTTTGGAGTAATGGGAGTAACTTTTTTTGAGAGATTACACTGATCCATGGGCTTTACATATATTAATTTGTTTAGTCCTCAGAACAACTCTATGAGGTATTATTATCAGCCCCATTTTATAGAATCTATAATGTAGACAAAGAAACTGAGCCACAGGAAAGTTAAGTAACTTGTCCAAGGTGTCATAGCTAAAAAGAAATAGCCAGGATTAACCCAGGCAGTTTGTTTCTGGAGCCTGTTTTCTTTTTTAAATAATATTTTATTGTATTTTCAGTGAGGGTTTACACAGCAGTTTAGGTTCTCATTCAACCGTTTCTACACAGATTGTTCAGTGACATTGGTTACATTCTTTGCAATGCATGAATAGCGTCAGTATTTCTGTTCTGGTTGTTCTGTTTCTGTTAATCTAGTTTCCCTGTCCCCTTACATTCTTGTCTTTGTTTTAAAGCAGTTGTTGACCGTTTGGTCTCATATAGACAGTTTTTTAAAAGAGCACATTGTCACTGTTGATATTCTTTATTTTGTGAACTAATCTTTTGTTTAGCTAAAAGGTGTCCTCAGAAGCTAATTTTGGTTCAAGGTTTAAGCGTATCACAGGGCAATAGTCTTGGAGAGTCTTCCAGTCTCAACCGGTCCAGTAAGTCTGTTTTTTGTCTTTTTTTTTAAGTAGGAATATGAGGTTCTGTTCCATATTTTTCTCTCATTTTATCAGGGTCCATCTATTGTGTCATTGGTCAGAATGGTCAGTAGTAGTAGTTGGGTACCATCTGGCTCTTCCAGTCTCAGGGTAGATAAGGCTGTGATTCATGTAGACTATTGATCGCATAGACTAGTTTCATCTTTCAGTCTTTGGTTTCCTTCTTTTTCTTTTGCTCCAGACGAGTTGAGACCAATAGTTGTATCTTAGATGACCGTGGAGCCAGTTTTCTTAACCACTTCATTATCCTCTAAAGGAGGGAGCTCTCTTGGGAGTTGCTGCCCCGTTGGAATCCTGTGAGATTGTTGGGACCACATTATACAGTGTGAGGTGCTCTTGACCAGGAGCTAGAACCTTCTATTTCAGCTCCAACTTTTTGCATAGCTGGCCTTAGATAAGCCACTTAAGCCTGGTCTGGGCCTGTGTGATATGATTGTGTGTTTATGTGTAAAAAAAGTTAGAGGTTTATTAAAGAAAAATGCAGTCTGGGGCTAGTATAGTGGCTCCACAGGGTCATCAGGGACCCATTCTCCTTTAATCTCTCTGCTCTGCCATCTTTAATGCTGGTTTTCACTCTCAGGTTTTCTTTATGGTCCAGTATAGCTGCTGCAGCTCCAGCCATCTTGTCTGTCTCCAGGCAGGAAGAATAGAGGTAGAGTACAAAAAAGAGGTACCTTCCAGCTCAGTCAGTCTCTTTTAAAGGAGTTTTCCTGGAAGCATTACTCAAGAACTTCTGCTCATATCTCATTGCTTACCCCTAATTGCAAAGGAGAGTTGGAAATGTAGTCCCTTAGCTGGGCCTATTTATCCAGCAGAATAAAATCAGGGTTCTGTTACTAAGGAAAAAAGGGAGACTGGATATTGAGAAGGTAATAAGCAATCTCTATCATGGTCCAAGGATGGTAAAGGTGCTACAAAAAGGTGTTAATGCACTTCATTTACTTGGCAGTTTAACTCAAGACTAAATCTTGTCTTCTTGGATGGAACTTCTAAGAGTAGTAGAGAATTATTTTTATATCATACTTTTCAAAGAAACTGTCTTCCTAATCATGCTTGTGTTAGGTGTGAGTTCCCTGAGGGGGCAGCATATATCTCTTGGTGGTGTGGGGCTGTGTAAGGAGTTAGCTGAGAAGAGCAATGGTTTGTGTAAGCCGTGGGATGTCATTGTGGGGTGAGATGGTCACTTTTGCTGGTTTGTAGGAGCCCTGGTGGTGCAACAGTTAAGTGCTTGGCTGCTAACTGAAAGGTTAGTGGTTTGAACCCACCCAGCGACTCTAATGGGAGAAAGATCTGACAATCTACACCCATAAAGATTATAGCCTAGAAAACCCCATGGGATCACTATGCATCGAAATCAACTAGACGGCACCTAACAGCAACAATATAGATAAGATACCCCGTATGTAGAGTCAAGGCTTCCTATAGTTTGAGGCTGAGTGATACCATTCAAATTCAACAAACGTTTATTGAACACCTACTTGATGTCAATTACTTTGCTCAGCCCCTGGGATATTACATTTTTTAAGACAAGATTCTTTCTTGGAGAAGCTCCCAGACTTGCAAGGACAACAGACATACACAAGATTAATTATGATGCAGTGTGTTGCATGGTACAGAGCAGTATGGGATAAGAGAGGTCCACATGTAAGTGTGATGGGAAGGGAAAGGCTAATTGACTAACCTGGAGGGATTGGAAAGACTTCCTAGAGAGGAGGTGGCATTTGAGCTGGGTGTTGAATGATGAATATGTGTCCATCAGGAAGAAAAGGGATTCTAGTAGAGGGACCAACATGAACAAAGGCCAAGAGGCATGGAAGAGTGTGGGATTTGGAGACAGAAACTCATCTGATGTGGCTAGAGTGAAGTCTGTTGGGTGGGGAGTGGAAGCATATAGAACCAGAGTCAGATTGGGGTCAGATAGTGTCAGTCCTCGAGTGGTTGCCATGCTGAGACAAACCATAGGCAGAGGGGAGCCTTTGGAAGGAATGCTTTTCTGGGATCAAGCAGCCTGCAATGTTCTTCCTGTGGCAAAGAGTACAGGTAAAGTTCATGACCCCTTCTTTACCCTGGGGTGTTGTGATAGACAGCATGGACCCGGAGGCTGAGGTGAGACCCATCTTGACGACTGAAGAAGCTTCACAGACAGGCTATAGCACTGAGAGGCTGAGAACCAGGGATTATGACTAGAAGAGGAAGATGTCTGTGGTCCCGCAAACAAACTCGCCTCTCCTTAACCTCTCAGTTCCCTGAAGGAGCAGCTGCAGAAAGCCACTGAGGAGGAGGAGGCTCGGTTGAGAGAAGAGGAAAGCCAGAAGCTGTCCCGGCTTCGAGCCCAGGTCCAGGCCAGGGCAGAAGCAGATAGAGACCAGATGAGGTGAGGGTGACCTGTGAGCTGCCCAGTCCTGTGGGGTTGACCCCGAGTGCAAAGGCCCACCCCTTCCGTTCTGTCTTCCCAGGGCCGAACAAGAGGCTTCCCTGCAGAGGCTGAGAGAAGAGTTGGAGTCTCTACAGAAGGCCAAGAGGGCCAGCTTAGAACAGAAGAACAGGCAAATGCTAGAGCAACTCAAGGAGGAGATGGAGGCTTTGGAGAAGAGAGAGCAGGCTGCCCTGAGAGCTGAGAAGGAGGAGGCTCTGCAGCAGCGGAGGGAACAACTGGAAGCGGAGAGGAAAGAAGTAAGCAAGTCGAATGGGACTTCACACTCTGCCATGTCTCTCGGCTGCCTGAGCAGGGACTGTGTGCCGAGGAAGAGGCTGGGCCAGCCTCGGGTGTGCAGGGTTGGAAGCCAGGCAGAGAATGGGTGTCACACACAGACAGGCACAGGAGACAGTGAGCTGACTGTCTGTGGCCCATTACTCCACATGGACCTGACTTGTCTCAGGGAAATGCCAGCCCTGGTCTCCACGGCAGAGCGGAGAATGCCGCAGGGAGCAGAGGGTCCCTTCCAGGCCTGGTCTCCACGGCAGAGCGGAGAATGCTGCAGGGGGCAGAGGGTCCCTTCCAGGCCTGGTCTCCACGGCAGAGCGGAGAATGCCGCAGGGGGCAGAGGGTCCCTTCCAGGCCTGGGCTGGGCTGGCAGCAGTCGCTGGTGTGGCCTGTGGCAGTGAAGCCATTAGAGGTTTGAGGAGAAATGTCCTGTGGATTTGAGAAGATTTCACAACTGATAGCACTTAAACCAGTCCAGAGGTCTCGAGACAAAGGTGCTGTATCCTGCCCTGCCCCTGAGGGGCAGCTGAGATGGCCTTTCATCTCCTCCCTTCTCTTTCCTGTCTTAGAGTGAGAGGTTAGCACACTTTTTTAAAAGAGTTTTTTCTCCTTTGCCATTACCCCCTCTCCCTCCAGTCAGATAGTCTGTCTCCAGGTCAGATTCTGAAATAAGTAACAATCAGGCCACATAGAAGTTTCTTATTGTTGGTGAGGGGTGGAGGTTTTCTTAGATGCTTCAGCTATCAGACAAGGAAAAACACAGCAAATCACAGAGAAAACCTCACTGTACTGCAAGTGCTTGAAGAGACTGAGCTGAAACCTCCAACCCTGCCAGCCGTGGGTCTTATTTATAGTCATGAACGTCTTCAGTGTACCCGTGGCCTAGCCCAGAGGCAAGGGGATGTAAGCAGTGACCTGAGGCTTGCTGGCCTCCCCTGCATCTCTGGCCTTCGTGTTCCTGTTCGCTTGCCAGTTGCAGACTTCAGGGACTGAATTCTTTCAGAGGAATACCCTTGGTCCCTTAGCTCAAGGTGGGCTGGGGATGGTCTTCCTGGCTCCTCCTTCCCCTACACTCAGTACCTGGCCAGCCTTCCCTGCCCTGCTTCCTTCACAGGCCCTTTCTTGCTCCCCAGGCTGTGGCCGTGCTGGAGAGGGAGCACAGTGCTGAGCTGGAGCAGCTCCGTTCCTCGTTGGAGGCCAAGCACAGAGAGGTGAGATGCAGCCAGCCCTGACCCCACAAGGCAGAGCCTCAAGACCCTCTTCAGGGCTGGTCAGTAGAACTCACCCCATCCCTGGTCCCTAGGGAGGGAGCCTCCCTCTCCCTCCAGGGGTTGGATGCCAGGTGCCTGGGAAGTGAGTCCCCCATGGCAGCTCTCCAGTGCTCTTTGGGGGTCACATTCCTCTGTGCTGGGGCCTCCTCAGGTGGTTTGCGGCCTCCAGAAGAAGATAGAGGAAGCTCAATGGAAAGAGGTGGTCCAGCTGCAGGACAGCCTTGGGCAGGTGGAGCAGAGAGCTCATCAGAAAGTTCATCAAGTGACTGAGTACGAGCAAGAGGTGAATGCTGGTCTGTTTCTTCAGCATTGGCGTGTACCTGTGTGGGCCCTCTTACGGTCTGTTGAGCTCTCTGGCCTGTGTCTTCCAGTTTTCTCTGGATGGCCCAGTGGGGATTAGAACCTCTGGTTCCATTCTGATGCCTCAGTTCCCTGGAGGCCTGGTACTTCTTCACCCCCATACCCCTGTGTGTGTGTGGAGGGGGTGTTGGGGCTGTATGTTCTGGTGTCATGTATATGTGATGTGTATATGGTGGTATGTCCAGGGGAAGGGTATTGGGGAGGTGTGTGCATGTTACATGTGTGTGTGAGACCTTCAAGTGCATCGGGCCCCCACGTGCTGGTCTGCCATCAGTCCTGCATGCTGCAGCCCTGCTGTCTGCCCTGCAGCTTAGTGGCCTCCTGAGAGAGAAGCGTCAGGAGGTGGAAAGGGAGCACGAGAGGAGGATGGACAAGATGAAGGAGGAGCATCAGCAAGTGTTGGCAGAGACCAGGGAGCAGTATGAAGCTGAGGTGACTTGGCTACATGCTTGGCACACACCCCCAGGGGTCCATCCAAGCTGGCTGGGCGGGCAGGGGAAGGGGACGGGCTGTGGTCAGGGATTGTGGTAGGCCTCTCTGGTATTGTGTAGTGGTAAAGTCATTTCTTGCCTTTTCTCTAAAACATTAGAACAACCTCCCCCTTATGAGGGGTGGTTCCTCTCCATCATGCAGGGTGCACTTTGATTTTTTAATAACAATCATAGCTGACATATACTGAGTGACTTATACTTACTGTGTGCCTGACGCACTGTTCTAAGCTCCTTATATGTATTAACTCGTCAGTCCTTACAATAACCTTGGGTGGTAGGTGAGGAAACTGAGACTTGAGGAATTTAAGTAACTTTGCCAAGGCCACACCCAGCTGGTAAGTGGAGGAGCTAGGATTTAAGCCCAAGCTATGTGCATCCAGAGCTGCAGTTTTAACCATTCTAATACCACGCGACCAGTGTTAATAGAAATTTCAGGACACCAAGAAATAGGCAAGAGCCATGCAACCCTTAGATATTACCTGCACTGTCTTCAACCCTTGAAGCTTCAATTACTTGAGTGGACCCCAGCTGGCTTGTTCACATTGGGGGTGACCAATGGGTAGGTTGAGGGGTGGACTTTAGCCCACAGCTGAGTCTATGACGGGAACCTAGGCTACTACTCCAGTAACTGGGATGGGGAACCCAGACTCTTTCTACAGTCTTTCCCAGGGCAGAAATAACTGGCCCGTGATGAAATTTAGTCACATCCCTACGCAAACCAATTATGGCCTTGCCGAGGAATAGTGATCATCATTTATTAATGACATCTCTTCCCCTGAGGAGGAGAAATTGGACATGATGAAACAGTAGGAGTATCAGGCTCCCAGAGGGGGACTTCCTCATGACATCTGACCAGCATCTGCTTCAGCTGCAGAGATGAGGGGTTCAGGCTTTCTGGGGGCTAGGACTGTGCTATCCTTGACGCCCTCCTCCTCTTCTTGAAGTACTGGCCCTAGGGAGCTGGTGGTATCCCTGATCTTATTGACCTAAGGTTGCAGGGAGTGGAACTGTGAATTTAGGGCCTGAGGGGGGCCACTGTGTTTCTCACTGGGAGCCCCACCCTCTTGGCAGGAGCGGAAGCAGCGGGCTGAACTCCTGAGGCACCTGACTGGAGAGCTGGAGCGCCTGCGAAGGGCCCATGAGCGCGAGCTGGAGACGACCAGGCAGGAGCAGGACAGGCAGCTTGAGGACTTGCGGCGCCGGCACCGGGAGCAGGTGCGGGGCGCTGGACAGACACTGGGGCTGGGGGTGGTGGTGGGAGTGGGGAGTGGCTCACACATTTCCATGAGGCAGGATGGGGTTGGACAGCTTCTCCGGATTGGGGTCTCTCACTGGCCCTCTCCAGGCTGGGCATCTTTACTCCTTTATTTTCTGGGTCAGGGACCATCCCCAGTATTAGAAGAGGAGGCTGGCCCCTAGTAAGGCCTTGGAGTTGGTGTCTTTGCTTCTCCTTGTACCCACTGGTGAAAACAGGGCGTGGTGTTTTCCTGGGAGGTCTCGGGAAATTGACAGGAAACTTGAGCCCAGATCGGAGGTCGTGGTATGGTGTGGTGCGTTCAGGAACCCTTCCCTGTCCCCTCAGCTAATGCCTTGCACCCTTTCTACACTTGTGCCTTTCTCTCCACCTATGTTTCTGTGCAGGAAAGGAAACTTCAAGATTTAGAGGTGGAACTTGAAACCAGAACTAAAGATATCAAGGCCAGATTGGCTCAGCTGGACGTCCAGGTGAGGGAGTAGGGTAAAGAATAGGATCTACAGGTGTCCTTGACCTTGGAGTCATAGCCCCCCAGGAGAGCGCAGGCCTTCCTGACCTTCAGACCTGGGCCTGGAGATAGCCACAGGGCCCTACACCTTCCTTCCCACCACAGGAGGAGACTGCCCGCAAGGGGAAGCAGCAGCTCCTGGATGTGCAGAGGCAGGTTGCTCTGAAAAGCGAGGTTTGTCTGCCACTCTTGGCCTCCCTCCTTCGCTTTCCCTCCATCCCCCTTCTTTTCCTCTCTCGCTGCCTCTTCCTCTCCCTGATCCAGCCCCCCGCACCGCCACCACCTTTTGTTCGCCTAATCTGTCCAGGGCATCGGGATTCCAAACTCTGTTGGCCAGTGTTCCACAAATAGGGCCCCTGTGTAGAACCCCCCTTGGGAAGTGGGACTGTAGGGGAAAGACGGTGACCTGCAGACCTCTACTTTTAGAAACAGTGATCACAGTGTGTCTGGGCTTCCCTATCCCCTAGTGATGCCTGCTCCCTGTCTGCACCTCACTGTGTCTCCGGGTGCTTCTCTCTTTCCTTCTGCCCCCAGGAAGCCACAGCCACCCAACAGCACCTGGAGGAGGCAAAGAAGGAGCACACCTACCTGTTGGAGTCAAACCGGCAGCTCCAAAGAGTCCTCGATGAGCTTCGAGCCCGCAAGTTGGAGTTGGAGTCCCAAGTGGAACTGCTGCAGACCCAGAGTCAGAGACTGCGGAAACGCCTCAGGTGTGTGGCAGCTCTGCCCTCAGCTTGCCGACCCAGGCCAACTCTTGCCTGCCCTCTGGTTGCTGTGCATAGGCCCGTCTAATCACAGCCCAATCAACAGGTCCAGGTGGAGGCCCTGACTTGGGAGCCGGGCAGAGGGGCTTGTCTGCTGCATTTGGTAGGGACCAGGGGGTGTTATGGAGCCCTGGTGGCACAGTGGTTAAGAGCTACAGCTAGCTGGTAACCAAAAGATCGGCAGTTCGAATCCACCAGCCAGTCCTTGGAAACCCTATGGAGCATTCTACTCTGTCCTATAGGGTCACTATGAGTCGAAATCGACTCAACAGCAATAGGTTTGTATTTTTTTTGGTTTGAGGGGTGTTGAAAGGAGCCCTGATGGCACAGTGGTTAAGCGCTTGGCTGCTAACCGAAAGGTTGGTGATTCGAACCCTCTAGCTGGTCTGAGGGAGAAAGATGTGGCAATCTGCTTCTGTAAAGATTTACAGCCTTGGAAACCCTATGGGACAGTTCTACTCTGTCCTATAGGGTTGCTATGAGTTGGAATCCACTCGACAGCAGTGGGTTTGAGGGGGTGTTAAGAGGCTGTGAAAAGCAGGAGAGTCCCTGGTTCTACCATCATGCCCAGCCCCATCTCAGGGACTTTGACTGGAGTGAAGGGTTGGAGCTGTTCTGCTCTCATCCTGAGATCAGCACTTGAAGCCAACCCCAGGAGTCCCAGCAGTGTGCTGTCTGGCCTGCTCCATCATGTGACCCTGTTCCCCCATCCGCATCCTGCTTCTACCACAGCGGCCTGGAGGCTGAAGCTCAGAAGAAGCAGGACAGGTTGAACGAGTCGGCAGTAGAGAGTAATGCTTCCCCATGCTTCGAGCCGGACCTACACGTTGAGGACCTGAGGAAATCCCTTGGGACAGTGAGCTGCTCAGGGCGACTGGGCTTGGGAGTGGGACAAGGCATCAGGAGGGGGTGATGAGGCCGGTTCTGTGTCTGTGGGACCTTGGCCTCCCTGTTCTTATTGTTCCCAGCCCCCCACCTCCACCAGTCAAACAATATCTCTAAGAGAACGGTACCTGGCAGCTGGCAGGGCTGTTTCTGTGTTTTGCTTCTGAATGCTTTTGCTGCACTCAGTGGGTCTTTTTTACTGTATGTCCTTAGAACCAGACCAAAGAGGTATCCTCTTCTCTCTCCCAGAGCAAGGAGGAGACCGACTTATCCTTGGACAGGTGAGTTCCAACAGCTGATTTGTGGTTGAGGATGCCCTGAAGGCATGAGAGAATGCTGCATCCCAGAGTTGGGGGTGCTGGTACAAGTGACAGCAGTCACAGTGGGGCTTGGTTCTGGGAATGGGGCCCCAGGGGGCTGAGGGATCGTCTCTGGTCAGCCACAAAGCTGTCCACTGGGGTTCGTGGGTGGCATGCTGCTGTCTGCTGACCTCTGGTTGAGGGTCAGTCTGATGGGCCCGTCTGGCCTTCTGTTTACAGGCCTCAGGCACGATCCCTTTCAGGGTCAGGGTGGAGGACTGTTAGCGCAGCTCTCCACACACTGCAGGTGTTGAACAGTGGCCTCTTAACACGCTGCCTAGCCCAGCCGCTCCTGTGCCTGCACAGGGCAGACATGTGCTGGAAAACTGGTTCCTAGAGTCTTTTGTGTTCTCTCTCCAATTTCTCTGTCCTGGCTTGCCCTCCCACAGTGTCCGGCACTACCTGTCTGCTGAGGGGATAGCCCTCCGTAGCGCCAAGGAGTTCCTGGTGCGGCAGACACGCTCCATGCGGAGGCGGCAGACGGCTCTGAAGGCCGCCCAGCAGCACTGGTGCCATGAGCTAGCCAGTGCTCCAGAGGCAGCCAAAGACCCGTCAGGCACCAGGGTTCTGGAAGATGTGCGCAAGAACCTGGAGGAGGTCAGGAGCTTCTGGGGGAGACTGCAGCCCTGCACGGGTCGGGGAAGGCCTGGGAGAGTCAGGGGACTCTCGCCTTTGGGCTCTCCCTCAATTGATCATTCTAGGGACTTCATGAGAGTGGTCACATGGGCCCTGGGTCACTGGACAGGAGTTGTCTTGGGAGATTGGATGGGCAATATAGGATATCTCCATGAGGATAGAAGTACCTTATGAACATTTCCATGGCAATGCACAGTATGCAGAGCACTTTCTCTAATCATAAATCATTTGATCTTCACAACAACCATACAGGATGTGCAAGGTAGTATTATTCTTCTCATCTTCTAGGTGAAGAGTACAACTAAGGTTTTTAAAGCTTCAAGTCCAGTGCTTTGCTTTACCATTCCATCATGCTAAGGAATCCATTTATCTGTAAAAATCTTTTGAACACACCCAGCAAAAGACTGAGTTACTTCTCTGTTTTAATTAATTAGACCTGATAGCCAAATTTGCAGTGAAGAGGCAGAGACTTCGTGATCATTATTCATTGGGATCACAGATCTTCATACTGTTTGAAGGTCTTGGCCGGGTAGGCTCTCTTGGATCATGCGCAGTCCCTTAGTATTCTGGTAGTACTCAAAGCTGTTGAGGGTGCTGGCCCCTACGGCTGGCTTAGGGGCAGCAGAGGACAAGAGGCTAGTACAAACAGTGGGGCAGACTTCCCAAGGGTGTATAAATGCCACCACTTTTCCTCCCCCAGGTCCTGCTTAACCCTTTATGATGAGGATGATGAAGATAGTAATGGTAGTTGGGGAACAGGAATAATAATAACAACTATTTGGTTAACAGTAAACATTGGAAGATTTATTAGGTGTGAGCATGGTGTGAAGCATATAACATACTTTATCTCATTTAATTCTGACAACCCTCTGAAAAGTAGTATTTCTCTTTTATTGATGAGAAACCAGACTGAGAGGTTAAGTAATTTGGTTCAGATCACACAGGCAGCCGGTGGCGGAGCTGGGACTCCAGGGTCTGTGTGGTGAGTTGCCACGTTTCTCTGCCTTCCTCCCTGAGTGCAGGAGACCAAGCACCTGGATGAGATGAAGTCTGCCATGCGGAAAAGTCAGGACCTGCTGAAGAAGAAAGAGGAGAAGCTGAATCAGCTGGAGTCTTCTCTTCAGGAAGAGGTGCAGCTCTGGGGACACATAGCCAGGGTCCATGTCCCCCCTCTTCTGTTCCTGGGATTTGGTTGGGTTCTCTGGTCCCACATGAGGGGGATCTGGGCCTCTAGGATTGGGGTCTGGGCTGGTGAAAATGGCAGTGACTTCAGCTCTGAGTTTGCTGAGCACTCTGGGTTTGGATATCTGTGCTGAATGGTTGTGAGCACACTCAGAGCCTCTTTCTGAAGGTTTTTGGGAAAGGGGGACTGGCTCCCAACCTTACCCCATCATGGTACCCTAGGAGAGGTGTGACCAGGGTGCTGGGAATAGCCATGCATAGTGGGTTTCTCCACCCTTTGTGCACTTTCCCCTGGAGGCCTGAGGCTAAGATGTGACAGGAGGAAGCTCAGGTGGAGAGACAGTGCAGGGAGAGTTTATTGGGAGGGGAGGACGGGGTCTGTCTGGGCTAGGCGACCTGTTGCCTGTATCGCACGTAGCTGAGTTCTCTTAACCTCTTCTCCCTCCACCCCCTGCAGGGAAGCCTGCATGACGTGCCTTCCCAGGGTGCTTTGTGAAACTTCGGGCCCCAGAAGAACCTCTTCACCAAGTCCTCATTGCCCACACATCATAAGGGCACTGGGGCGCACAGGAAGTGTCAGTAATAACTGCTTCCTTCTACCCATCAGGCCTCAGATGAAGACACTCTGAGAGGAGCCTCCACCAAGAAGGTGGTGACCTTTGACCTCAGCGACATGGAAGACATGAGCAGCGAAAGTTCTGAATCTTCCCCCCTGCCTCAGAGTGAGTGGTGGTAGCAGCAGGGATGTGAGGCAGGGGTGAGGACTACCATACCCACAGAGGTATAGGGATGTGGGGAAGAGAGGTACGCTCCCCTTCCCTTAGCCCTGCGGAGGTCTCTGAGCCAGTGTCTGCCCACTGCCTGACACGGAGTAAGTGCTTGGGAAGGAGTAAATCCATCTGGGTTTGCCTGACACAGGGCTAGGGGGCTTAAGGAAAGCCTCTTGGCACCGTGGAGCACTTTACTAAGAGAAATGTCACTCTTGGCCTTTTCCCTTCCAGTGCCACCTTTTGGGAGGCTGTGCTCCTTCTGCTGCCCTGGCCTGCAAGTGGGCAGAAGGGCCCCTCTCTGCTTCCTTCTCTCCAGGGTCCTGGGCCCCCTCCCCAGGACCTCACCCTGGAGAGCCTCTTTCCTGTGGCCAGCTTCCAGTCTGCACTGTCTGGAGCACAGGAGCCCTGCCATCCCCCACCGTCCCCATCAAGGCCAAGGGGCTGTGGCTGGAGGAACCGGGAAGGGCAGGGCAGGGGTGAGTAGGGTGCTGCAGTGCCAGCTGGGTCTGGAGTCCTTCCCTACCATCTGCCTCTTGCCTTTCAGTCAAGCTGACCCCAAGTCCCACCTTCCCCAACAAGATCCACTACTTGAGCAGTTCCCTGCAGCGGATCAGCAGCGAGCTGAACGGTGTCCTCAGCATGCTGGGCAGCCTCAACACTCAGCCCCTGCCACCGCTCTTCACTTCAACACCAGCAAAGTTCTCTCCCCTGGCCTCCAAGGGCACCCCTGTTCCCACCTACCCCTCCCTGCCCAGGGTCCCAGCCCCGGCCCCTGATACACCCATGTCTACCCGGTGGGCCTGGGACCCGGGGCTGGGCCCTAGGCTCTCCTCCTCTGTGGCTCAAACAGTGGACGACTTCCTGGTGGAGAAGTGGCGCAAGTATTTTCCAAGTAAGCCTCCTTACGGGCTGTGCACAGTTCCAGCTAATCCTTCCCGCCTTTCTTCTCTTCCTTTTTTTCCTCCCTCCGTTGCCTATCCCCCACTCTGCCAGCTGTGGCATGGTCCCTTGGTCCATGGTCCATGTACTCTGCCTGTGGGTCCCTGGTGAACAAGACCTTGCTGGTTGTCCTGCAGCCAGAGGTTCTCTGGGGTCAGGATGGTTCTCCTGGAGCCTGAGCTGACTGAGGCCTGGGCTATGGATTCTTGAGCTTGGCAGAACCTTGAAGGTCATTGTTGTCATCGTCATAATAGCTACCATCTTGTGCAATGTGTTATGGGCCAGGCATTTTATATACGTTTTTTTATTTAGTCCTTATAATAACCTTCTGAGGTAGTCATCATTTACCCCCACTTTACAGATGAGGAAACTGAGACTCAAAGAGGTTAAGTAATATGCTCCAGGGTACCCAATAAGTGAGTAATGAACTTGGGTTTGACCCAGGTCTCTGACTCGGGATTCTGCTCGTGGCCCCTTGGCTGCATGGCTTCCTCTTGTTCCTGTGGCAGGTGGCCTCCCCTGATCTCACAGCCCTGCTGGGGCATGTGAAAAGCCATAAAAAAGCAGTCATTTGAGGGAAAAAGTTTTCTCTCTTCTCCCCCTCCACCCAAATTGAAAAGTAGATTAGTTTGGAAAATAAATAAATAGAACAATTCCTGCCTTTCACCTCCAACCCCTGAAACTTTTCCTGTATTGGATTGTTTGTTTGTTTTGGGGGGAGGGCACCACCTTGTGTGTGTCAGATGAGCAGGGAGGCCACCAGGCTGAACGCCTGCCCATTTCTGAACAACTTCCTCCTACCTTGCTAGCTGGAGTTCCAGTCCTCAGCAGTGGCCCCGCCCCCCTGGAGAATAGACTGGGTTATGTGTCGGCCAGGTAAGCCTCCCACTGGGCTTTGGATGGAACTACACAGGCTGCTTGCTCCCTGTGCCTCTCTGGGCAGGTGGGACCTCTGAGGGGAACAGTCCTCCTGGGCCTGTTGCCCAGAGAGGTCAGGCCTCCAGTCCACAAGGCTGTCCCCGCCTTGCCTTGGTCTAAGGCGCCCCTCAGAAACCAAAGAAAAGTCAAGTCCATACCACTGAGGTCCCCATCGAGGCAGGGTGGGGCTTACCTGGCCTGGCTTGGTGAGGAACCTGCCCTGTGTACCTATAGGAGAAACCAGCCCCTGGTGAAACCCTGCACAGCCCCTTCCTGCTGGCCCCTCCAGCCCCTCTAGTCTGGCCTTTTTCTTTGCCATTGAGCTCTTTGTCTGCTTCATGTGTATGGCTCCATTCTTCCCCAAGTCCTGCTGAGCAACATCTGGAGTGAGAGGGACACCCTGTCGGGGAGACAGACAGGCAATTACTTAAACCTGTTATTAATTTCCCATTCATCTTATTCCTTGCCAAATGCATCCCTCTTTCCTTCCCCCACTAGATCCCTAACCAGTCCCCCCACCCCTTGACTAGCTTGAGAGCTGATGCTGGGCAAGTATTTGAGTCGATGGGGTGGGGAGCCTCTTTTGCTTATGAGATTGGCTGGGAGTATGCAGGTATAGGAGCCTAGAGCCTTGATGTCAGTAGTATTCACCCAGGAAAGGGGCAGAGGGTGTCTGCCGCCTTCCCTTTTGGGAACTGATGCTTGTCATTCTAGGGGGGCATTCCAGAGTTGATGCGGGAAGAGGTCAGATCTTGCCAGTAGAGGAAGCTTTGACTTACTAAAGAGACCCTGAGAAAGGCTGCAGCTGGCATGCTGAGAGGAAGCGGAGGCGGTGGGATGTGCTGGCGTGTGGTCTGCTGTCTGCACGTCCGCTTCCTCCAGCACGCCTTCCTCTTGCCCTTTGCCCACGCTGTCCTTTTCCTTCCCAGTGAGCAGCTCCGCCTTCTGCAGCACCCCCATTCCCAGCTCCCTGAGGCGGGCAGTGCCAACTTTCAGGGCATGATCGAGGCCAACCGAAAGTGGCTAGAACATTTCAAGAATGACCCCAAGTTGTATCCTTTTAGCTGGTTTCCAAACTCCAGTCCTTTCCTGCTGTAGAGAATGGGCTGGCTGACCTGGGCTGTGGGGCCTGCTGCATGTGCCCTGGGGGTCCAAGGAGGACTCATTCCCCGAAAGTGTTCAGCTGACCGCAGAGTTTTCCTTCACCTTGTGGCCAGACGTCCCTTCTCAGTGCCCAAGCCGACAGCCCGCTCAGGCCTGCTGCAGCTGGGCCTGGATGAGAACAACAGACTGAAGGTGTATCACTATTAAGGCCCTGAGTGATGGGTGTGGGCCAGCCTGGCCTCTCTTCCACCCAGAGCAAGTGCCTGAGGAGCTGCCTGCACTTTATTCCCTCTATAAATTATTCTCCTGTCCCCTTTGCTGCTCGGCTGACTCAGGATTGGAGGAACCACCGGGGACTGGGGGGTGAAAAGGATGGCACGGCTGGAAGCAGCAAGCCGCACCCTCTGTGACTGTGTAGCATATCTCAGGCTGAACTGTTTTGGACTTCTTCGAGCCAGCAGCTCCTGCATCAGCGTGACAACACTGATGATGTGGGCAGCTGAGGGGCAGGCTGGTGTGGGGCACCAGGGATGTGGACACCTTTAGGAAGAAGAGTGGTATTTGAGGAGTTGCCTTTGAAGGCCACAAGAATCCCTTTGGAGTCTGGTTGGTCCCTTGGAGCTGCAGGGTGCTGCTCGGGGCTCCTGCAAAGATGATGTGTTGGGTCATTAATATGCCAGGACACAGCCCCCCAGCATTCTGCACCCTGGAGCCAGGCTCCCCTGGGTCCATACCTGTTTTCTAATACCTCAGCCTCATAGAGATCAGGCCTTTTCCTTTTTTTTTTTTTTAATGCTCCGTTTCTTGAGCACTTGGTTTTGCCTGTTGATTCTCAGAATTGGGCTCCTCTGCCCCACTCCCTGCCTGAGGTTGCTGGAGGCTGAGCCCAGGAAGCTTTGTGGCATATCTTCCCTCTGCTGGCACTGTACTTTCCTCAGCCCCTCATCCACAGAGAGGTCCAAGGTCGACTCTCAGGTCTCAAGCACACAATTTCTCCAAGAAGCCAAAGAGCCACAGGAACAGCCTGGGATGCCTTCTAGGCCCCTCAGTTTTTCTCTTCCTAGACACCTGGAGTATATTCATGGGTCCTTGTTTTCATTTATCTTTTCCACTTGGCTCCTGGCACCTGGGTTGCATAAAAACAGTTCCATCTCGCCTTCCACCTGGGCCACCCTGTGCTCCCCACCCCATCCCACTGCAGCCTCTTCTCAGAGCTTGGCGACTAGGAGAGGAGGTTCACGGCAGGGTCAGCCCCTGGCCTTGGCAGTGAGGGATCTTGTACCAGTCGGCGTTGCTGCCATTTTGGCACAGCTCCCTGCAGCCCCACTTCCCATCATTGCGCTCCTTGGGGTTTGCAGAAGATGTTCTCTGACATCTGTCTCATTGTTTAAATAAAATGCCCCCATTTTTCTTGTCTTTAAAACTGTGGGGTTGCCCTTACCTCTCCAACACATAGTAGCCAACTCTTTCCCTCCCACCACTCATTTCCCTGCCATGGAATAAGCAACTAAGATCCAAATCGGCTTTTTTTTTTTAACCCCCTCAGATACATTTTAGGCTCCAGCCTACCACACAGAAAAGGTCCGTTTTGTTATTTGGTTCATCCTGTGTGCTTTGGAAATGGCTCACGTGTTATAACCAACTCTGGTGACAATCCTGTGTTTTCTACATCAATTAAATCGCTGCAGGTCCATTTTCTACAAGGCAGGCGTGTGACTGTGTCTCCTCCTCTTTAGAGGCCTTTGCCTCATTTCCTCCTCAGAAGAAGGGAGGAAGGAAAAAAATTAATATTCATGGAACACCTCCTAGGTCTCTGGCTTACTCATCATAAGAAACCTATGATGTAGATATTTTCACCTCTATTTTTATGGAGGAAGAAACCAAGGCTCAGAGACTTAAGTGCCTGGGGTCACAGAGAAAGTTCAGAGCCCTATCCCTGCATCGCGATACCTCCAGAACTCCTCCTGCCCAGCTGCCAGCCCCTGGGAAGTGCTGACTCTCCATCTCTCCCTTTGCATCTCCCCCCACCCCCATCTGCCAGCTGGAAACCCATAATGCTGT